TTAGAAGTATTGATTGATCTTTCCCGTTCTCTAATTAGCAGTCTTCAAAATAATGGGAACGTGTAACAAGTTGGCACTCGTCTCAGCAGACAATTTATGATTTTACGTCAAATATTGCTGAAAATAATCATCAAACTTACTTAGCTCTAATATCAAATGGAGAATAAGTGATGTCATAAAGTGGCAATGCAAACTTGCCCGAATAATTATTGCAATTATTCATATTTCTTCCTCAAAGTGTTTCAGTTCAGCTTATAACTTGCGTATTATACAACGTAAATTCTATCATGAAGATAACAAGTGAGCTTCTGAACTGTTAAGTCTGAGGTGACCTGTTATCACTCCATTCTTTCAATCAAGACAGTTGGGTTTATTCTGTATGTTACTCTTAGGCTTCAGTATCACTGGAATTTATTGTAGAAATTCAAGTTACAGTTATTAATAACTGCAAGCAAAATCTGACAAGACAGCTGTTGTGACGAATTATGGTCATAAAATATATTTAAAGATGTATTATTATTAGCAGTTAATGTGCACTAAAATATTTGAATAATTTTATTCATAATAATTTTGAATATTTATTGAATATCTGAATGTGTCTCTTCATTATACGTTTGAGCTGTTAGTGAAGCAGTTAGTTATCTGTGCAAGTTTTCATTTGTTTGTACTCAAACACACTAAGCGTAGTTTTTACTACTTCCGACTCCTCGTCCTTCCATCTTTAGTTTTCAACTATACGTGAAAATTTTTATTGAGTGAGATAAATTATAGCAACTTACTGGAAACAAAAGCTGTTTGCTGCAGTAAAAATTAAAAATAATTTAGTGACTGATTCGATTTTACTGAAATTATTCAAGTCAGACTCTTTTAGGTGCATAATGCAAATGTTTGCACCAATCGAATGTATTTAATTTCTTATTACAGGAATGAAATTTTAGGTATCTGAAGGCAATCTGCATCTTAACAGCCTGCAAAATGAAAATTGGTGATCATCAAGCAGAGCTTATCTTCCGTAACAAACCAATTGATGTAGTCAAAGAGAGAAAAGTATTTTTGCTATTTCAAATTTTGTTAAAATAATGGATGAAATAATAAATACCAAAGTTCGGCTTGTATCACATATGAAACTATATTTTGTTTCAGTATTCTAAGATGCTTGCAACACAATTTGATTCAGAAGACGTTTCTGAAGGCAAATTTTACCGACTAAAGCTTCTTCCTGAACAGTATTGCTACGAAGAATAGTAGGATTTACCACTTACACTTTTGTCAAAATAATATTCTATATTTCATTTCGTTTTCACTTTCAAAAATCTGAATTAAAAATCTAACAAAATAATCAAAGTATAATTAATCCGAGCAAAGCATTTAAAAGTTACAGCTATTATCCTGAAAACAAGCCTTATCGAGTTTACTTTCATAATGTTTGCAATCGTTGGTTTGTCTACAAAACTTATCAACGGATTGACGATGTGAGCATAGTTTTGCTTTGGTCTAAAAATAATAATCTCTTTGAGTCGATTATCTGGAAAATAAAATGAATGCTAGCACTTGAAAAGACAGCTAAAATTTATCTTCTGCTGATTAAATTTAATTAAAAATTACCTTTCAAGTTATCCACGATGGATAATTTCAACGCAAAGGCTTACTATATATGCGTGATGCCGAATCATATAATGAAGCGTGCTAATTTCAATGAAATATGTGATTTTATCTCGTTAGTGCCGTGTATTCTGCTATTAATGATTTTGATTAATTTTCATAAATATGCCTTTAAAAAATTTGCAGCAAATTTTGGGATTATTTTGTTTGATAGTTTTACTATTTACAATACTTCGTAACTTAGTTCTGCCATTGCTGCAGAAATTTTTTGAAAGAATTGGTCGCCTAGCAAACAAAATTATCTTAATTCCGAAATTTCAATAAAATTAGTTTTCAGTTTTTTGAAAATGACTATAATCGAAAATTGAAAATAATTAAGGTTTAATAACGTTATTGCCAGTAAAGATAATCATTAAATGTTAATGAAAAAGGTTTGAGGACAGTATCGGTACTACACGGAGAAGAACAACGTAAATTAGAATTACAGAATACTACTGGAGGAGGATTTCGAGCTAATATGCGCACAATGAAAGGCCGGAAAGTTCCTCCAACATTTTTGGCATCATATGCCAGAGAACAAGTAATTGTGAATCGTTTTGCGCATTATACATTATCTTTGTAACTTTTGTACAGACTAGAGAGCAGTTAATAAAAGGATCAAAAAATCGAGCAAATAAAGAAGTTACAAACTGAAGACATTGCACATTTGAGTCTAGAAAAATCACAATCAAGACCTTTTTCATCAACTATTTGTACCGTAGTACTGTCTGGGTATAGGTTGATTATAAATTTTTTTTAATTTAATTGGTTAAAAAGAATTCAGTTTAATTAGCATTATATAACCCGTATTTGAGTTATTTTATATGCATAAGCTTTCAGTAAGACTAAAAAATTGCATCGAATCTTAGGGCAATAAATGAAATGAACTGAGGAAACAATATAAATATATCTTTCAAATATAAAACGAATAAATTATGACTTACGTCAATTTTATGAGTACGTAAACTGGCACAAGATTTGATCTTTATTTAATTTTGAATGTAAATTTTCAACTTACATTTTCTAATAATCAATCAAGCACTCTTTACATTTCAAAGACTAATTTTCAATGCAGTATCAACGACATTGTAGTGATTATTGATCGTAAGTAATTTGGAAATTGTAGAATTATTATTATTATTAATATTTAAAATCAATATTTCAAGACTAATATGAAGAAAATATGCAATTGGAAAAATAATAAATTTCCAGAAAAATGGACCTTCAATGGTAAAGATTTTACTAAATCGTAATATCGCTGAGATCCAAGCTTATCAACGTGCAAGACTTGATAAAATTGAAGAAAGTATAGCTGAAACTGATTTGATCCGTAAAATTAAGGCATGTTTTCTAACTGTACAAAGTAAAAGATTGATTTTCTGATCAAGCAAAATTTCGCGTCTGAGAATTTACGTAAAACTTAGCACTGACGAGCAATTTTTCTTTACTTTAAACTTCTCATAAACTGTAATATGGGAAATTTATAATAGTTTTGAATAGCTTGCTCATGATCCGAATTTTCGCATATTATGTTTTGAATTCGGATTTATGTAAACTAAGATTTAGGGAAATAAATTTTCATAATCAAAAAGCATAAATTATAGAATTATTTTAGCAATTTTCATAATTCAAATACAAAATAATTTTCTCTACTTATGTTTTTCAGAAAATATATAGCTAATGTTTAGTTTTGCAGGATTTTACGAGCAGTCATGCATGTTGGGTTCAAGCTCGGAAGCGAATGAGTAATTATGCAGCGTTGCAGCAGAAAATACGCCAGAAAGTTCCCTTCAAACGATACTCTGCCACAAGGCTCGCTGTTTTCAATGCTTGCCATTCCAGCTGAAATATGTCTTAAATTAGCTATTAGTGTTTTCCTAATTTTCATTTTGAGAAAAATTAAATGACAAAATAATAAAAGTAATACTTTTGTAATTTCACACTAAATTTTCATACTAATTCTTTTTAGCATTGTTTTTCTAATCAAAATTCATTGTTTTTCACGTACTCTTAAATTTGTTAGTAATAATAGCTTATGGTTCACATCCAGCGTCAGTTAGATGCTATTTTTGAAAGCTCTTCCCAAATTCTTTTTAATAATTAAAATTAAATAAAACTCCAGCAATTCATCTTGCTGCATCGCTAACCAAATAATTCAAAATGCAGGCTAATAATTTTGAATGGCGTGACAGTGTCTGATCTATGCAACGAATTAATTGACTATCCAGTTTGGGTTGGCTTCCATTATTATTTTATGAGAACTATCAATAAAGAAGGCTTGAAAATTGTCTACGATGACCTCAATTACTTTGTTGTAAGTTTAGTACTTAATTTTTAATGATTTTTGGAGAATTTAAAATTTTATCCATTCATTTCGGCTCTTGTGTGGTCCAATTTTCGGCCATAAAATCTACAAACTTCTTTTTACTGCTTGCAAATTTGTCAAATAACCAATGATTGTTTTTTTTCAAAGTTTGGACTCTTACGTCCGCTCACGGCTTGACTGACATCGTATGGGGTCAAAGAGCAGAAAAACAGAACTGATATCAAAAATAAAAAAGCAAAAATTTTAACAGATAAATCCCTCTGATGCACTCGCGAAAATTAAAAGATATCGGAAAAAAATGAAAAAAAATTTGAAAGAATTATGTTTTCTACCAATTTGTAAAAAATTTGAACTTTCCAAATTAATGCAAACAAATGCAATGCAACTTTAAATTTTTAGTGTATTAGCATAACAAAATAAAATTACTATCATTTATCTCTATACAATGACAGATTACTGTAGCAGAGTCAGTCATTTGCATTTTCGTTCTTTAAGAAACATGGAAAATTTTATGGTATTTAGGCATTTTGCAAAGCTTTAACTTCAAATTTTGCTGAATTTAATGAAATAATAATGATAATAGCTATGAATAAGTTTGGATAACGAGCTCTACTTTTAGTATTATTATTTATAGGTAAGGCTGACCTTTTGTCTTTTTGCAAAACATACAATTAACAAAAATTTTTTTCTTTAAAGTTTCATTTGTTGCAGAAAGAAGGCCAAAAACTACGTCATTTACGGGTCTTGCCATCAAAATATACTCATAAACCGCAGGCTACAACAATATTTGGTGGATCAAAAGTATATAGTAAAGGACAAGTAATAATAAGTGAAAATTATCGAACTTAATTTATATAGCAGTTTTTTCTTTCAGAATCTTTTAGTGAGTTTTATAATGATATTTCAAATTTCCACTTCAAAACTAGTCAGTAAAAGCAAAAATAATTCAGTTGAGAAGCGAAATGTTTTTGGGGGCAAATAACTTTTAAATAATTATGGCAAAATACCTTTGAACTTAGTTTTTATGACTAAAATGTGTTAAGTAATAATAATAGTTTATTGATTTAATTTTGATCCTGTAGAAATAATGCTACCAATATCTGACATACAGTTCATTGTTTTAGATTCCACTTAGTCACTGGCCACTAAATGATTATCCTCCTAGTGTTGATTCAGTATCTGGATATTCAACTATTACTAGAATGTCCACTGCTACAACGGTCTGATTGCTTTCAGTTACCAAAGTCAGATCTCTCCTTCTGAAATATTCACTGAAGCCGTACAATTATTTTAGTTTCTTTTTAAGTCAAATTTTAATAATTTGATATAGTTTACTAATCTAATATTCTCAATAGTCATCTAAAATTTATTGATAAAATTTATTTAAAAAAAAAAAATGTTCTCAAGTTGTGAAATGTGCACTTATTACCATTGTGAATAATTTTAATATAATTGATATTAGTTATGCAAAAAGTATTATTAACTAGTTTGAGCTTAGTAATATTTCAGTCTCCAAATTCTTGGCAAAATGATTGGAAAATGCAATCCCGTCATGATGAGTACGATCATCGATTAACAGAAACAACAATACCAAACATACGTGATACACGTGCTCGCGGCCATGAGCAGTTCGCAATTCGCTTCAATAAGGAGCTCAGCTGTCGCATAGATTTCGCCCTTGCGTTAGTATAGCAATCCATCTTTGATCATTGTAATGTTACAATATTTTTCAGAAAAAAAAATGTTTTTTAAACCTCAAAGCGAAAATTCAGTAAACGCATCATTAGTTACCGCTGGAAAAAAATTTTATTAAGTAAAAATGAAATAAAGTAAAATTTTTATCTTTGCAGTGATGTTGAAGCAGTTTTGTCGACTACAATGGTAAATTATAAAATGGATCCACGTGTAGTAGCAGCGTGTGACAAAGACAGCATTCCAAATATGTTAGATAGACACGGAGATTTGACGTGGTTAAAAAAAGCTGAGTCACGGATCTCTTCAATTCTAAATAATGAGCAACCAACTGTTGAAGATAAAAAGGATTTACAAGTATATTAGTGATTGCTTTTTCACTTTGCTGTGTAAAAAATAATCTTAAGTTACATAGAAAACTTTTTACGAAAATTTTAGTGTTAAATTTAAATAAAATAAAGTTTAATGATTTTACATCCAGAATATTATAATGGAAAAAGTCATATTTAGCAGATCAAATTAGATTATATAAAAGTTAAATGAGGCATCTTTCAAGAAGCTAAGTGGAAAACGAAAATATTTAATATGAAACGATGAATTTTTTTAAAAGAGCAAACATTGAACGGCGCTTTACAGTTAACAAACCGAAAATTAAAATTATTAACTGAGCTTTGAATTGGTAAGTTACAGACTTAATTATTAATTAAATTCAATTACTATTTCAACTAAGATAAAATGAAATTTTAGGTATTGTATTATGCCAAACAACGTTATGAACAAACGTTGTCACGCTACGAATGTCATCCATTCACGCAACCACAATCTGTAAATACCATTAATTTTTATCGCTCTATAAACTACTTGAACTTCAATTTCATAGTAATTTTAGAAATTTTAAATTGTAGTAAAAAATATATCAGTGATATACAAAAGACATTTTAAGATAAATGTAATCAGAAAATGAAGCAGTTGAAGTTATGTTTTCGTTCAAAAAAAAGTCGTCCATACATACTTGAAGGACAGCAAAGAAACGCTTTCTTCTGCGGTTATAAATAGCGGCTATGCGAGAACAGCACATCTATGCATCAACGATAGTTGGAGACGTATCATTGATTCAAATCGCATTCCAACGCACGCTTTGCAAGTCTTGAAGTTACTGGTGATAAATTATTTTACTTTTATGCATTTTCAGAATTTGAGTACACATAATGGAAAAAGCATCAAATAGTAAAAACTTATAATAACAGCAGCTGAAAGCAATCTTGAAAATTTGAAAAATTTATTCAAAATAATAGTAAAACATGATGTTTGAAAATAAACTTCATAGTAAATTACAGTTAACAGTGGTTGGAGCAATTTATGGCTCACATAGGAACAAATTTCAAATTTTTAAATATTATTTTTATAACTTTAACAAATACCACAAAGTTGAATTGTTAATACTTGCAAAAATTATGTAAATTTATTTGTACAAAAAAAATGTCTGAAAATATAATTAATATAAGAAAATATTTTCAAGGTGACTGACCAAGATGCTTGGCCTTTGGATTCAGATTTTTCTAATTTATCATTGGTTGATCGTGCAGATAAGATTTTTGTACCTCATGTAATTGAACTCTTTAATCGCTTTCATGTGGTATTTTTTACGATTTTTTTCAATGCACAATATTAATTTATTTTCTGATTTTGAACTCAGTACTTTACTTGAAATCATTGTTTATTTTACTACGAAGAAAATTCAGAAATCAATCAAAAGTTAGCTGATTTCTGATAGTAATGAATTGATGCATTTTAGTAGAAAAATAATAAAGTATAAATCTTATTTATTTTAGAAAAACAAGGGTATGAAATTCTTAGCTATTACCACGTTTTTAATTATCGTGATATTTTTGGTATTCCTTGCATTAGTTCTTGCATTATCACAAAATAAAGAAGACGTGGGTTATTGCCCATCAAAGGCTTTCCGTTTTGATCCCAAAAATCCTCATCGTATGTTTATATCTTACTTTTTAACCTTGAAAATGAACATATAAAATAATTTTACAGTTTGCTTTGAAATAAATAAATTTATCTAACAGGTTATATTTAGTATAATTGGGAGAAAAAAGTGATTTCTGAACAACACCTATCCAAATATAATTTTTCAAAGGATTGCATGCAAATTTTTTTTAAATCATTTTGAAAAAATATCATAATGACAATGATTCACGCTCAAATTTTATAAATTCAATACAAGGCAAGAAAAGCCCAGTATATGTTTTGAAGAATATGCAAGGAATGTAAGGGCAATATTTTAAATTAAGAAGGATGAAATATTTTTGCCTTCAGAAGCAGAATTGATGAAAGATGCGATGAATGTGAAGCAACCATCAAACTACCACTACCACAGCTCGTCAGCCACTCATTTTTTCATGCAGAATAATTGAAAATGAGGAAAGAATCAGACCAAAATGATATTGTATTGTTGACGCATTTTGATTTGAATTTTGTGGTTTGTGGCAGTTGCAAATTATTGTATTTATGAAAGTTTTATTAATTTGATACTCGGAAAATTGTATAAATTCTGCTTGAAAACTGTAAGCTAACAAAAGTCTTTTTTTCAACTAACTAACTTAATTAGACGCAACACTCAAGTACGGCAAACAGTACAGAGTGTATGGACTCTAACTCGTCTCATCAAATATGTCCAACCCAGTTTACCGCTGATTGCTTCTAGTGGGTTCAAACGACACGCCTTTCCTCGTCTTTTCGGGTCAAAACACAATCTACCTGGATAAGTCCACAAAGTACTGATTCAAAAATGTTGACTTGCCCGAGGTGAGGTTCGAACTCACGACCTTCAGATTATGAGACTGACGCGCTAACCTACTGCGCTACTCAGGCAGTCGGATAATTTTGATCTTTACCATTTATATTTTTGATATTTCTATTTTGTGCTATTGGTAGTAATTCGATACTACAGTGAGGAGGTAACGGCGCCTCTGCTATTGTCTGTGATCAAAAGTTTGTGGCATAAATTTGGCAAAAAGCGCTTGAAATTGGTAGCAATCATCACTGTAATTCTGACTGCATAGTTGCGACAAATTTAAAAAATTTGATTCTGCTAAAAGTAAAATAAAATCAGAAACACTTCACTGAGTAGAGTATTTTCAGCATAATATAAACAAATGTGGAGGTTAGTTTTGGTTTTCCCGCGCTCAGATTTGTTGTTGTACTCGTCGTTCTCGCTTCATCCTCGTGAATCCATATCGACTGTCGAAGGAGATGCTTCTTTTCCGCTTAATAAATTTAGCTTTTAAATGCTTGGAAGCTGTTAGGAACAATTTAAGCTGATAAATATTAAAAAATAACTTATTGGAAATAATTGATGAAAATTACTGTAACAGGCATAATAGTAACGCTGCAATACATTATATTCATGCAACTTGTAATAATTTGAAATTCGCAAAAAATCATTATAATTGAAGAGAAAATTGCAGTTTCTAGTCGCGTTATTCACTTATTTTAGTTAATTGCAAACAGTTTTGGTATTTACTTAAATCTTTTCGTAATTATTACTTGATATAACTAAAACATTTATTCCCTTCCGAAGTATTTTAATACATGGCTCACTTTTTGTTTTTCACGCCAACTTTTGTATTATTCGACGCTAAAACGTGTGCTTTGAATGAATGTACTTAAAAATACAAATTCTTGCTTGACAAAGCAATTTCTTGGCACAATGCATTTCATACCCAAATTAAAACAAAAAGAGTTTGTAATAAGTAAAATTTGATGCAAAGATGTATTCAAAGTCCGAAGTGAGATGCGTGCTGGCAGTAAGAAGCAGCCATCTTTGTGTGCAAACATCCTTCTGAGGACAACAATTAAAGAATAATTGAATGATAATCCCAAAGTCACAAAAGAGTTTGCGTGAATGTTATCCGATCAGATTTAAGCCTTTCACTATGGCTGCATTTGCTTGCTATTCTTTATGTTTGTATTCAACAACATTTGTCACGCAATTACCCAAATTTGCATACTATACTAATTTTATATTCAGTTTTAAACTTTATTCCACTGAAATTCTCTACTTGTTTTTTAGCAAAAATGTACAGAAGACATATTTACTACTTCTGCATTTCTGTCACTAACAATGAATAATTTTATATTTTTTTAATAGCAAATTTTTTTCACAAAAATTGTTTGCTTTATTGTAATGAATATTGCTTGTTGATGACAATATGCTGCATATTATCGCCGCAAGAAGGAGTTTTTTTGATTCATTCACAATTTCCTTTTGCTTCAGTCTCTGCCACTCAAATCGCGAGTTATAATAAATTTCAACTCAATTCACTTGTCAAAAGTTATTTCCATTTTACTTTACTCTACTTGCAAAATGACTCTCAAACAAGTGAAAAGGTCTGATTCGCTCTTTAACACAAATACAAATTCAAAATTTTTTATTTCACAAATAAGTACTCAAATACAAATATGCAAGTGACTACTTATAATATTAAAACTAAAAATTATGCATCAAACTCTGCAATTGGATCCGAAAGTAGCATTTTTGTATCTGAAACGGAATTGCCTTGCAGTTGTATATTGTACGAACTCTTACTTCTTCAGCACAGTTATTGTTATTATTTTCTCAAAGTTAGAAGACTCTTGTGTTTTGTGTGCATTCTCAGCACTGTTTGGCAAACACTAAAAGCCAGCCAGCACACCTCAGCCTTCCTTGCTAGTAACAAACAAAATATTCAATTTATTTTACCGTTTGTAATTTTATTTTATTCCTAGTGCAGTCATCGCATTAGTTTGTTAACTTTTTGCAACACTTTAATTTCTGTATTTTATACTTTGGCACTGTATAAAGTTTGAAATTTTTCAACTCAGAAATGTGAAATATTTTAGTTATTTTGAAGACACAGACTATTTTTGTGTAATGCTTAAAAAATTAGAACTCTGCTAATTTTATAAGTAGCTTACTGAGATTAAAAAAATTATGAATGCTACGTGAGGCATCGAGTTCCGGATTTTTTAATGTAAATCTATAGGATTAACATTAAAATTAAATTTTTTTAAGACTGAAATAATCAATTGTCTTTTCCATCGATCTGAAAAATTTGTATATTTACTTTGCTAAATTTTGGATTCAACACTTTTATTTTGATGCTGTTAAAAGGTATTGTGCCAAGCTTAGACTACATTTTGTGTGTAAAAAATTACTAAAACAATAATTATGATTAAATTGCACAAAATTAAGGCATAAACGAAATCTCTGACAAAATTAAAAATTGATGAGTAAAGTTTCATTTAAAAGTAGAAAATTGGTTGCAGTTGTGGGAAATATTCACTGTCGTGAGATAAAATAATTAAGGCAAGTGCAACAAAGTTGAAATCTGCACTGGCTTATCATGCTTGCATGTATTATATGCTAGGAGCGAAAATTGTTAAGCAGCGCTCTTATTCAAAATTTCAAGCAAATATTTGCATCGTAAATTGCTTAGAAAAATTGCTCAAAATTAACTTTTAACTTTTAACTGCCAAATCGAAAATGATACTCCCTCATTGTACTGTTTCATTTTAAGACAAAATTACTTGAAAATTGAAAAATTTATACAAAAATCAGTTTATTTTTATAAATTGCAAGAATTTTCGTAGTAATTTTCCCAGTGTAAATTGCTGACATTTATGATAGGAAGCAGTGTCTTGCACAAATATAAAATAAAAAGAACTTTAATTGATTTTTCTCCCTTACTTTCGTTTATTTTGATTTTTCAAACTGAAAATCATTTAAAATTGCTGAAGCGAAAATTTGAAATCAATATCTTAACAAGTTAATCAAAACTTTAGCTGCGTGATAGTCATGATTATCACTGTCTTGGTGATAATTTTGCAGCGGTCTAATGTTGACTCATTGCCATGCACTGATTATGAATGACTTCAAATGGCACTCTGCTGCTTGCCATCTTCTCGACTTTTTTCGTTTTCATTATTATTTGCTTACTTGCAATCTGTTTCTGAAAAGAGAAATGTATAATTTTCATCGAAAGTTATTAATTCTCATTTGAATAGGTCATATTAATATTTATCATTTAATGCTTTAATTTAGAAAATTTATGCTAATTTAATCAATAATTTTGATGCATTTTTTGAGTTATACTTTTTGATTGCAATAACCTTGCCCCATTTGACGCTTTCTCAGTATTTTAAATTATTTATGAGCAATTAATTATATTATTAGGCATTGCATAATATTAAACATGATAGATAATTAGACGACATTCAACGACTATAGTTATGAAGAAGTAGACGTAAAATTTGCTACAAGATAAAAAAGATTCGATTTTTGGTGAAAGGTGAATTTTTTTTGGTTTTTTTGGTGATTTTTTTGATGAGTAACTCAAAAATAAAGATGACAAGAAGATTCAGTACAACATAACAAATGCTAAAATAAGCGTAGTCGTAAAATCGGCATACGAGATTAAAAATAATCCTGACTTTCTTCGCTACTGGTCAATTCTTTAATGACCACTCACGTCAATATTAAGCACTGAGATCAATTATTTTGAGGTCAAATTCTAACATTCGTGAAGCATTAAAATGATGATTGCTTGTGTAAACAACCAAATATAAATCATAATAATAGTTGTTGAGACTGTTAGTGATTTTAATATCAGTAAGGTCATTATCTGCATCAGTAAGGTCATTATCTAGCTTTATTTTTATGACATTTTGAATGTGATGACGTAGTAAATTATTGTTTTTTGTTCAAAAAGCACTGTTCTAATTAGCTGAAGCAAAACGTAATAAATTTTTGGAAGAAATAAGCAATATTGTTTTGTTTTCTTTTTGAATTTTAAATATGAATAAAGCTATTATTCATTGTGAAAGTCTATCTATGAGTCACATGATTTGTCATCGCAGCTTCAGTTTTTTCAAAGTACTGTATTGATATTATTCAGTTTAGTATTTTCCAAGAATAGAAAATGAGTGCAAAAATTCAGTAAAAAAACGAATGATACCAAACGTTTTGTTCTCAGGAAATGTGTTTTGTTTTAGTTTTTTGTCATTTTCTCTCATAAAAAATCATTGTATTTTTTGCCGCGAAATTATAATAACTATCTCAAAATTAGTCTCTTCTATTGCAATTTCATTAATTTTTTATATTACAATTTTATTTAATTTTTTCATGAAATTTGACAAAGTAATGCACAGGTAATTAAACGATAAAAAGTTATGTTTGCTTTTTTGCATTTTTTTTCGTCGCTGAAATAACTACTACAACTTCTATTTATGGCAAGTTTTTCAGGTTTTTCTGTGGGATAATATTTAAAAAAATAATAAATTTCAGTTTCAATTTGCTGGCAAACTTCCGAATTTACACTTTTTTATGAAGGAAATTTTGAACTTAACGTAACGTATTACATCGATTTTCTATTTTCAAAATAAGAACGTTTGTCGAACGCGTAAAACTGATTGTTTTGAACAAATGTTCATACTTTTCCGTCGATCAAAATCAGTTTTGTTTGGAATTACAGACATTGTTACTGCTCTCTTTTTTGCTCAGTTATTGTATACATTGATTGTTTTTTGAATCTTAGTAAATACAGTTGCGTGACTTTTCACTTGTAAATTATAGGTAGAAAATGGTGGGCTTCTTTTCTAAAATGAAAACGAAATAATGAAGATAATTTAAGTGACCTTTGATTCTAGGTATTGAAAAAAAAGTGGAAAGATCTTTTTCTGGTTTTAATCTATATTACATCAAACAGATCAAATAATATCCCAATTTTTGTGAAATCAAAAAAGTTATTTTCAAAATGAAAAACAATAATAACCATTTCTGACCTGGCACTTGTTGGTGACCTTGAACTTATAATTTTGAAGAAAAAACTAATAATAATTAGTACGTATAATTGTTACTACTTGTTTCCTTTTGTTTCCAATCATGTTTACTCAAGACAAGGAAATGTGAAGTAAAATTCTTTTTGTATTTAAAGTACTGACTAATTTATCGATTGATAGGTTTGGTTTAGTTTAATTATTATATATGACCTGTTTTGCATACTTCGCTTTCATTGTTCAACATGTAAGAGTGAGTGAAATGAGGTTGAAAAGTCTGCAAACAAGAAAATACTGCATGAATATTGCGGACAAATAAGCATTTGGTTTATAATTTTGCATAATTCACAATTTTATGAGGTCAAAAAACCACGCGCTGATTTGGCACTGTGACGAAGTACTTGCAGTTTACTGCTGCCATTATTTTATATAATTTTACTTCTTTAATTTCTTCGCAGAATTTTTTTATGTCACAAATACGCAAATTTTACGTCGGCTACGCAGTACTCTGCCACTCTTCTGGTCAGGCGAAAACTCAATTAAATTAAAGAAAAAGTTACTTTTCCAGATGTACATACATTTCATATTACTCTTAATATGTCGTTACTATGACCTCTAATTGCAGAGTTTTTCAAATTCATAGCGATATTTGATATTTCCGATATGGTTGTCAATTTTTAAAACTGCGAACTTCGCTTTCAGAAAGCTGATGCTGTTTGCTTGGCTTAGCAAACTGTGAGGAATTTGAAAATGGCAAGTTATAATTTAAAAATTATTGGGTTTTTTTGCTATTTGATGCTGTTGAAAATTTATGAAATTAAAAAATTGATCATTTTGCTAGCAGTAAAAATTTTAAAAATTCGTTTTAGAAACCAAAAATTTGAAATTATAATCAAATCTAATTATTATGGCTTTAACAGTTATTATAAAATTACTTTTTAAGCCTTTGAAGGACTCTTTTTCCAGTTTAACTTTTCTAAAAATTTAAGTATATCTACAGTAAATATCATGTTAAGTTTTGCTATCAAAAAATCATCATTTTTTAGTTTGTTTTGTTAAGAGTAAATATCATTGTGCATTTGACAGACATTTCAGTTTATAATTTATACTAATCTTTATTTATTTGCTCTTTATGTAAATTATTCCCTAACATAAACGTTTTTGCTAATTTAGGCTTTTCATTGGCAGTCCAAAGTAAATATACAGCATGTCGGATTGGATGATATGGTATTACTCAGTAAATTTAACGATCAAGCAATCGTTGATAATCTCAGAAAACGCTTTATGGCCAATTCAATGTTTGTAAGTAATGATGATCAATATTAGATAGACTGTTGCGTGAAAAAGCTTGTAGCATTTTTTGTATTTCAAAAAATTCAAAATGAATAAATTAGGTGCAATTATAACTCATATTACATTATGCAATTCATTTTAGTAATTCAATTCTTTGTAGAAAAATATTCTGCAATTTTTTGCATGTTAGAACTGACAATTGGTTGCACCACTCAAATAATATCAAAATATTATCTTTTGTTACTTATATAATGCTAGAAACAATGTTCTATTAATTTCGATGGCTAGTGCAAATTTATTCAAATTTTCAGACATATATTGGGCCAGTACTGATTGCAGTCAATCCTTTTAAGCAAATGCCATATTTTACTGAAAACCAAATGCAAATTTACCAAAATGCTGCGCAATACGAAAATGCTCCGCACATTTATGCACTTGCAGATAATATGTTTAGGTTAGTTCTAATTTATCTTTATCTAAAGTAGCCATTTTTTTTGATTTTGATCTGATCTTTAGAATTATTGATCCAGTCATTTGATCTAGATCTTTTTGTTTTCGTAAATAAGTATCATGACAGCTTCAACTTATAAAATGCATTTGTGCTTAATCTTTTACCAAATTGTTTCCACAAAATTAAACTGAATTTGATAAGAATTGACATCTAGGTTCAAATTTGTAAGTAAAATTTGGAATTTACTTTCATTCTGAACTGAAAAATATTTTTACGCATTACTTCTTTATGTGATCAGATAACGTCAAACACAGATGAAATGGTGTGAGCTACATATGGGATAGAAGCATATATGCTAGTGGCTCTTTCTGGCTTTATTTTCGTAAATTATTATTATATGCAAATTCAGAAATATGATAATTGATAATGAAAGTCAATGTGTGATAATAAGTGGTGAAAGTGGTGCTGGAAAAACAGTTGAAGCGAAATACATAATGGCATACATTGCTCGAATATCGGGTGGTGGACAACGACTTCAGGTGACATTTTCTGTCATTCCATTTTTTGGCTAATTGAAAATTTGTTTTTAATTTAAGAATTGAAATTAGATGAAGAATTTTTTCAGTTCTTTCAAGACTGATTGAATTCAATTAAGAATGATAAAATTGTAATAAACTTGTCAATTTTGACTTCTGATTGATTCAAATTTCGAGAAGTTTATTCCTGTTTACTTAATGCCTATAAATCTCTTTAGGCCGTTTATTACTGTATGTAATAAATCGGACAAAATTTTAGTATTGTAATATATCATCATAGCAGTTACTGTAAAAACAATGATCATATTTGCAATTTCAAGCGTTGTGGAACTGATACGTAAAATCAAAATTTGATAAAAATCAAGAAGTATGATTATAAAATTATATTACATGGTGAATTTTACTGTAAATAAAAGATCTATGGTTTTAAATTTAATTTTCTTTAGAACTACACTTGCAGGAAATTTAAAAAAAGTAAAGATTTGTTTTGAAAAAGGAAAAATACTTAAAGCTTAAGCTTGCCCAATAACACGTATATTTAATAATTTTGATAAGGGGGATAATTCTTGACTTATGAACTTTAGTAAATTTTATATTTCAGCATGTTAAAGATGTAATACTGCAATCAAATCCATTGCTTGAGTCATTCGGGAACAGTGCAACTATTCGAAATTGGAATTCAAGTCGTTTTGGTAAATATGTTGAGATTGTATTCAGCCGTGGAGGTGAACCAATTGGCGGGAAAGTAAATTTTAATTATTAAAATTCTCATAAGATCATTGCAAGTATCTTTTACGGAGCATATTTTTTTGAACTTTTTGATTCAAAGTTTAAAAGTACTCAAGGATTAAGAACAGCTGAAATTTAAGTTTGTATAAGTGTATTTTGTCACTAGCCAAAGTGCTTTTTAAACTTCAAATTTCAAGTGTCTGTGGATTTTCAAATATGTTAAGCTAGCATTTACTTTAGCTAAATAAAATGGTGTAATAAATTTAATATTACACGGAATTTTTAAGTAAAATTTCGATTATTTGGAGTCAAATGAAAAATGACAAAAAATCTTTCTTAATTTAAAAACGATTCAAATAGTGTGAAAGAGATCAAGTTTAAAAATTAGTTTTATTGTATTTATTTTCACGCTTGATCTTAGCTTTTCACATCGTTGTGAATAGAAGTTCTCCATTGTAGGTATCGAATTTCTTACTTGAAAAATCTCGAGTCACGCATCAAAATCAAGGAGAGAGGAACTTCCACATCTTTTATCAACTCTGTGCCGGAGCAGACAATAATTTGAAAAGTAATTACCTCTTTTGACCTCTCTTTGGGTAATTCATTACTCAAATAAGTGTGCATTAATGCCTTTTGTGAAGAAATTATTAAAAAATTTGGGAGTTATTCTATGAATTAATTTATTCATGAAAATTAGTTTTTATCATTGAATTAAATTGTGATTAAAAAGTTTGATATTTGTTCATGTTATAGCTTGTATTTGCAGTATAATTAAATTGCAGCAAAATTATGATGGATTAATTATTAGGCACCGTGAAATTCACTGTTGTGTATGATTACTGTTTAAGTCTAAAAATATTTTTATTAAAGCTAATCTTGGCATTTCTACGGTGGACTATTACAATTACTTGAATCACAGTGGTTGTTATACGATAAATGAAATCGATGATGCCAAAGATTTTCAGAAAACTTTGGTAAGTAGCGATTGAGACAGTTCTTGAATACTTTCTGCTGGAATATATTGCATTTTAGTGAAAACGAATTTACTTAGTAACGAGAAGAATTGTTCGTTTTTGATGGGTTTTTTTGAAAGAATTTATATTTTGGAGGTAATGTAATTTTGATCTTCAAGAATACATTGCAATTTCAACTTTCTTAAAAAAAGAAAAGAACTACGAGCGAGTTTCATTGAGAGTTATATTATAACGTCTTCGCTCGTTTGTTAGAGCCATCTGCGCATTTGATTGTCTCTAAAATTCATGCACATATTTTAGCGACATTCTACTTTTCATTGGTTTCTCATTTGAATTTTTTTAAATTTCTTTGCTTGAAAAGCTGATTTAAAAATTTGAAATTTGTTTATAGCAAGCGATGGAAGTGATTGGAATCAGTGATACAATACAAATGGAAATTTTGCAACTTGTATCAGCTATCATGCACATTGGTAATATCACGTTTGTTGAAAATAACAATTTCGCCGCTGTTGCTGATGAACAGTGTAAGTTAATTACCTTGAAGTCAAATATTCCAAATCAGTAAATAATCAAAGTAGTCTTTCTTAAAATTTTAAATAATGTTGGGAAAATCACTAAGGAATATTGCTCTAAATAATTACATGATAAACGATATTTGCTTGTGTCCTTTGTTGTATCAAACTCTTGTAACTTAAATGTTAACTGTCGTATTGACAGTAATATTGATATCAGAATTGGTAATTTTAACAATGTCAAATTCGCAAGTCAAATGTCATATTTCTTCTAATTTGGTACTGTTAGTATTAAGAATTGATAGAATCGAAAGTTGTTTATTTCTGATTTTGATCAGTATTTATTGCATTTTAGTTTTAAAGTTTCCGGCGTACTTACTTGGCTTGCAATCATCAGCAATACGCGAAAAATTAACGAGTAGACAAATGGAAAGTAGATGGGGCAAACAAACGGAGCAAATTGACGTAAAATTGAATGTTGAACAAGCGGAATTCACCCGTGACGCGTGGACAAAAGATCTTTACAACCGTTTATTTGATTTTTTAAGTAGAAGAATTTGAATTTTTTGATTGCCTAATAAATTATAAAATCGTAAAATAAAGTTGTAGTGTAATTACACACTTTTACAATTTTTTTATCTTTCCATCTAATAATTATTACGGATTCACTAATTCGCTATAATTTTTACAGTATCATCAGTTAATCAGGGAATGGAAATTACTTCTCGATTATCTGGCACAGCACTTTCTATTGGTATTCTTGATATTTACGGGTTTGAAGTTTTCGACAATAATGGTTTCGAGCAATTTTGGTTAATGATTAAATAATTCAAAATTATTACCTATTGAAAACTGAAGTTAATTAAATCTGATGTTTCCTATAATTTATGCTAATATTTATTCAAATAATAATCAAAAAACTACATTATTTCTTCGAATTTCTCAACATAAGATAGTACGGGCCAATTTCATTTTCAGCATAAATTTTGTAAATGAAAAACTGCAACAGATATTTATTGAATTAACGCTGAAAGCAGAACAAGAAGAGTACATTAACGAAGGGATCAAGTGGACACCTGTGGAATATTTTGATAACAAAATAGTCTGCGAATTATTTGAGGGACGAAATCCTCCAGGTGAGTTTCAAATAATCGCTGGAAATACTGGCATAGCTGAAAGTTATTCTGATTTAATAGAAATATTTCTACTTTTCTTTTTTCATCGAAATAATTTGCAGTAATTATTCGATTATTTTATTCATTAATAAAAAGCCAATTATTGCAAATGTTGACGTGAAGTTTAAGTAAAAAATCAAAGTCAAAAGTTTGAAAAACAATCAAAACTGAGTTGTTACATACTGAAATATCGTTGAAAGTTTGAAATCAGCCCTTTTATTTGTAATTAATTCTTAAATCCCTAAACATTGAAGGGTATCAGAGGAAGGCAAAGCTCATAACTGTAAAAAGTTTCTGGTTATCTTGAAATTTTTGTATTTACCAATTTTATAAAACATTTTAGAACGAAAAAGTTTTTATGATATTCAACCACTGACAATTCAGACTTACACAAGGTCAATTTTCGCTTGTTCGTTAATGTTGATATTTATGCCTGGGCACTGCTATTTAGCAGTGAGAAAAGTTACAAAGATCATTCGTACCTATAACTGATTTGATCTTTAAGTTCATCCGGGAATGTAGTAAATAAGGACGAAATTGTAGATCAAAAGAATTTAGATGCAACACGTATATCTTGAAGAGAAAAATTGAAAAAATGACAGAATTTTCGAGCAATTTCAACTTGACACTTGCATATCATATAAAAGTCAAATAAATCAACACTGGAATGAATTTTAAACGTTCATTTCAAACAAATTATTTGTTACTTAATTAAAAACTATTGCATTTGTTGACATTTTTCTGTTTGTCTCAGCAAAATTTGCTCAGTATCAAATTATATTATAGGTATAATGTGTATTTTGGATGATACTTGCTCACAAATTCATGGGCAAAATGAAGGTGTAGACGATCAGTTGCTGGTGGAACTGAACAAGTATATGACTCCGAATGAGCACTTCCAAAGTGGAGCAGAATGTTTTATTATCAGGCACTATGCTGGAACAGTATATCTCTATTTGTTATTACTTTAAAATTCTAATTTTTTGTCTTGGACTTCTCATTAAATGAGTCCTATAAAGTTTTCATGAAAGTTTTGACTGCTTATTACATTCCTTTTAAAGACGTCAACAGAATAACAGTTTTGTCGTTCTAGCGAGGGCGAATTTTTAATCTCAAAAATTCAGTTAATGATTTTTTTTGCTTTTCGCAAATATGTTTCGTTACATATATATGTATAAAAATACTTCAAATATATATGTGAGAATAAATTTTTTAGGTAGTGTATAACGTTAAGGGATTTTGTGAAAAAAATCGCGATACACTTTATAAAGATCTCATCTTGCTGATGCGACAAAGTAATCGGTTAGATAGTTGTTAAGATTTTCGCTATTAGCTAAATATCGTAAATAACTGCAGAATGATTATTACTGTTTGCTTGGCTTTTATAAACTTTTTGTCATTAAAAATAGATTGATAATTTGAAGTACTGTTTTAGGCATTTTTTTAAGCAATTATATCCCGAAAAAATACTTTCGAATGGAAAGAAACCAACAAGTTTCTCATCAAAAATTAGAGTTAGCTTTAAATAGATTATTCTTTAAACTGCAATCTCTAATGGAGACGAAAAGTTATAGAAGCAAACTTGTTGAATACAATTATAGCAAACTTAGAATATATCATATTGCAAGAAACTCTTCATATGCAACCAAATAAATATTTCCGTACTCTTATTTGATTGATTGCTTTAATAATAATGGTAATAATATGGAATTATATCTATAGTAAAATTAAGTTCAAGTATTATGAGCAATTTAATAAAAGTATTATAGACACAGGCAAATGATCTTGTTGATTCTCTCAGCAAATGTTCACCTCATTATGTGCGTTGTATTAAGCCAAATGATTCAAAACAAGCATTAGAATGGAATGAAAAACGGTAGTTAGTTAATTATTATTAAAATACATTTTTAGTTAAAGAACTTCTGAATTTAAATTTAAGATCGATAATAATCCGAAATTCTTTGTTTAGTATTCATGCTGCCCTTGCTTTACTGTTCAATATCCGGGTAATACTTTATTTAGCTTTTTCTATTTGAACACTGTCCATAATTTCTATTAACTTCGTAAGTGACGGAAGTTATTTTTAGATAAACTAGCAGACTGCAGTTGAAATTTGCTTAATCAAAGTTTTTTCTCAAAAATTTTCAATTCCAATCATTTTAAATTTTGCCTTGATTATGATTATTTTTTCAAAAATTGATTGTACTGGTATTTTTTGCAGAAGTGACTTGATCGTTTTTCAAATAAACTTATTTATCAGTAAATGACCATCTGGCTACTAGCATACTTTTAGTGTATTACATCAAGTGCAATATTTGGGTTTAAAAGAGAATATCAGAGTACGACGAGCGGGATTTGCATATCGTCGTGCATTTGACAAATTTCTCTACCGTTATGCAATACTTAGTTCAAAAACATGGCCGAATTACAGCGGTACTGCTCGAGACGCAATTGAGGTTTAGATTATTTGTGGAAGTCAGAAAAGTGAATACAACTTTGATTAAAAAATTACTGTAATAATTAAGACAGAAAAGTGTGCATAATTTTGAAGCCATACCTTTGTTGGTGCTAATTTGGTCAAATTTTCTGCAATTTCGCAAATCCTCAAAGTTTTAAATTGCTTTTTTAATTGTTTTTATAATTTAAGGGAAACAACTGCACAACTTTTTTTATTTTAATTAGGGCCACTTTCGAAGACTCTCACGTAAATTGCATCAGTTTGTACAATTAGATTTTTGCAGTAGTAGTGAAGTAAACAAATGCTTGCAATACTTGGCTAAATTAAGTTGCAGACTTTATTTCAGACTATTTGCCGAAGTGTAAACATGGATCGTGATCAGTACCAAATGGGTAAAACAAAAATTTTCATCAAAAATCCTGAATCGGTTTGTTAAACATTTACTGAATACATTTTACATGTAAGAAAATGGTCTTTTTAAGTTATATAATTTAAATTTATGCAGTTAATATTTTAGTTGTTTTTGTTAGAAGAAATGCGAGAACGAAAATATGATAGTTACGCGCGTATAATTCAAAAAGCATTCAAAAATTTTAATGCTCAGAAACGACACGCTAAATTTAAAGTAAGTTTTAACTTACCATTAATTACTTTCACTTCATAGTATTATTTATTATTACGGATAAAAAGTCACTGTGAAACAAAAAAATTGATACATTTTTGGGCCTAACTGCAAGGAAAGTATTAGTTTGAAAATTTGTTGTTTTGCTCAATAAATCTTGAAGTTAACGGAATTTAGGGTACAAACAAATGATAATTAATAATTTTTGCGATTATACAAAGTAAATTTTTAGATTTGTTCATTTTTAGATGGAAGCATTCAATTTACTATTAAATAAAAAAGAACGACGAACATTTTCTATCAACCGGAATTATGTCGGAGATTATATAGGCCTTGAATACCAGCCAGCCTTGCAAACTTTGGCTGGAAAAAAGGATCGGATAATTTTTGCTGCTACAGTTAGCAAATATGATCGGAGGTTTAAGGTCAACTCCTTCAGCCAAGTTGAATATTTACGTAGATGTGCTATTTTCTTGTTTTATGACTCATTCGGAAATTTCTTTCAGTCAGGCCTGTTTTTTTATTTGCAAACTTTATCCACGTTCGATCTCAATTCCAGGCTAATGAATATATACCGAAACTCAATTACTAATAGCTGAATTCAACGAATAGAAGTTTTTTGTCCAGACTTAAGTTCTAATTTGCTTGCACAAATCTTTCTTTTTCACTTTTTATGACTTCAGCTGTATCAAATGCTATCAGAAAAATGATTTTAGGCCACAAGACTAGATTTCTTGGTGACTACAAAGAAATTGGTTCTTATCGGAAGAAAAGTGGAGAAAAAGGGACCGAATAAAGGGAAGCTCGTTGAGGTAGGCTACACTCGTCTCACTTTCTTGGGTTGGTCAATCAAGTTTGACCACTTTCATGGTTTACAGATTGTTAAGCGAGAACTAACGTATGATAGTATTGAAAATATTGGACTGAGCCCATATCAAGACGATTTTGTTGTCCTGACAATTCGTGATTCTCATACTTCACTCTTGGAAACGCGATTGAAGACGGAACTCGTGAACGCTATCAAGTAATTGTTCATCATTTACGTTCTAAATTTACAAGAGTAAACGCTCCTAATCCTTGCTGCTATTATAATCAAAATTTATTAGACAAAACTAAATTAGGTAGATAAACCAGTGATAAATATTTAGCATGATTTTTATTATTGTCCATCTTGTCTATTGTATGTTCAAGCATAGCATCAAAATTATTATTGATAATGACTGTATAATAAAAAAGGAACTGTAAGATATTAGATATTGTGAGCAAACTTCTAGAGTACCCGTAATTATGATGGCGTGTAATTTTTAGTACACAGTATCGAGAAGTAACAGGCGGACAAATTCTACCAATTGTATTTAGCACATCTCACAAAATTATTTTAAAAAAGACTCGATTCGGTGGTGGAATCAGAAATATAACATTTATAAAAAATGAAAATGCATCAGATTCTGCACATCTTACCGTAGCAGACAAAACTTTGACTGTATGCATTGGACCTGGATTACCAAGCAGTACTAGTATGTTTGCTCCATTGCTAATATTTATTTCTCTCATAAATTTTCGTTTACTGTTTGCTTGAAAACAACATTATAGCACCAATAATGAGTTAAATAAAATGCTTTTACCAGTAAGTATTGCTTGATTTCTTTTGTAAGCCTTTTAGGACCAAATATTGATGTACCATTAATAAAACAACACTATCAACGACGACAATTTTCAAATAATCGGAAAATAGCTAACATAACCCAGCAGATACCTCGCATACCTGAGCATGCTGCTATTTCCACCGCGGTGCATTCGAATCGCATCTATCCAGCTGGAGAGGGCCTCAAAATTAATGCTAATGATCCTTTGCAGGTTTTAATTTTCGCATTTTTTTCTTTTAAAATTTTACTTCAGGTCCATCAGCAAATTCGGCTTTTTAGGAAATAAGAAAAAATTGTGTTCAAAACTGAAACATTTGAATTAATACCTAAGTTTTTTTGTAAAAGAATGATTTTAATGAATCATTAAAATCAAGTATAATTTTTATTTTCAGAATGCCAGAAGACAAGTTCATAAACCAAAGCCACCACTGAAACCGAAGCCACTTCCAATTGTTGAAGCCTTGTATTCTTATGAAGCTCAGGACACAGATGAACTTTCATTTGTTGCCGGAGATAAATTCGGATTAGTCAAAAAAGGTTTATTCGAAATCATTTATAATTGCAATTATAGACGATTAATTCTCAAGTTTATCCTCCGATATAAACAGTATCAAAATATTTTAGTGTGACATTATATAACAAATGCGTGAGATACTCTTTCTTATCGGAATTTTGTTGAAGAAGATTAATTTTACTCATACTATGTTCTGTTGCGATATTCAGATGTGCAAATTTTTGTAATTTATTGCAGTTTTTATTAATTATCAGTTTTTAATATTATTTGGTGATTACTTAAATCTTAAATAAGAAATTTGAATTTCTTCAGTATTTTATTATTCCATTAACTTATAGTACTAATTTTTAAAATCCTTTCACAATAAATTTTGCGTTTCAGATGCTTCTGGTTGGTGGCAAGGTAGAATGCAAAACCGAACGGGTCTTTTCCCGGGTAATTATGTTAGGGAATTATAGTGATTGTGACCTATCTCTTTTATCGTAAGATTAAAATACATAATTATTGGACTGTTAGTGTACTGAATTTACTAACCAAAAACTTTCAAATTCTTTGTTAATTAAAAGAAAATTTCATTTGCTATCATTGCATTTACCACTTTTATTTTATTTTATGTTATTGTTATTGTTATGCTGGTAATGATTTGAAATGTATCAATCTTTGTGACTACATGCTGCTTCAAATTTAACTGTTCAAGAAAGACAGATATTTAAGTAAGTTTTTTTCTTAATTATTTACGCTAGAATTAGAGAGTTCAATTTTACAAATCGTTTGACACAGTCAACAGACTGATCTATACTTCATAATAATTTTTCCTAAGAACTTTTTATTCGCAACTGCATCGTAATTTTTTTCGTTAAAATTACTGAAATACTCAAATTTGTGAAGTTTTTAAAAATTTTATCAATTTATTCGAAATATTGTGGTTAATTACTAGAAAATAGCTTTCTAACTAAACATTTTCAAAGTGAACAAAGCGGTAAGTTGAGATGAATTTCATATAGTAATTAAATTTTACTTATTGCTGCCAACTATTGCCAAGCATTTTGCATATTACATCAGTGAAGACAATAACGGAGAAACTTAGCCATTACAATTATTTGCCTCGCTTTTTAAGTGCTGCCTGCGTAACCTTGACAAGCGTGAAATACGAATAAAATTTTCGGAAAGTCAGTTCGATTGCTTGATTACTTTGCTTTGCATTTTGATAAGATTTTTGAGTACAAAACTAGTAGTCTGTGTTGTGTGAATTTTTTTGTTCTAACCAGTAAATACATTGTGAAAAAGCGGTCCTACAGCTTTAATGATCAAATTAAGTTAGTTTCTCCGTGAAAAGTATTTCGTTTAACAACGCATATGAATGCAAGATTTTACAAAAAATTAAGTAAATATATATTCGTGCTAGAATATCATGTACTTAAATTAGTTTAATTAATGAATTGATAAGAGTTAGTTTTCATTATTAGCATAATAGATATGAAAATCTTCTCTTTGAAATCCAAGACGAATGGTCAATAAATATCGCAAGGTACTGTTTCATGACTGTTTGCTTTTTCATATAATACCAACGGCTTCTTTGCTGGTGGCAAAATTAACGGTCGTTCGAGGATTTTTCCATACATCAAAAATTTCGACTGTTTCTGAATTAAAACGTGAGTTGATTTACTTTTGCTTACACAATTTACAGAAATAAAAGGTAATTCCAGTGATTCTTGTGATAAACTTGGAGTTATGATGGTAATTTTACTCAATTCGGTGATGTTTTTGGAACCGGCAAGTATAATTACAAATATGTATTTAAATTCTGTAATAATTTTGGTCACAACGTAATATAACTTTGTCAGTTATAAATCTGGAAATTTGAGAATTAAAATTGAGTAGCACCTGATGAGACACACTGTGAGAAGTAGGAACCAAAGCAAGAATACACTTGACTAATAATGCAGCGAAGATCGTAGATGCAAGCAGTAAAAGTCCAATGATTACTGCGCTTTTCAGTAATTCTGAAATACTTTTTGCATTCAAAAATTCTACTAAATCAATAACTGCTCAATTTTATTGCAGAAATTATTAGATTTTGATTGAATTCAAAAAATTTTTGGTTTCAAAAGTTATTTTATTACAAATTGTAGCAAGAATTGCAAAATTGCTTTGCTAAATTACTTTTTTCATAATATTTGATGAAATATTTTAGTGCATCTGAAACTTTCCACCACATGGATGCATTGTAATATTAAGAAGGATTTCCAATTCAGATCAGAAGGCAAAATAAACCATGACATATTTCAAAAAAGAACAAAATTTATTTGATGATTGAATATAAACGCAACGTAGGGTAATGATTCGATTTGTTTGCTTTTCGCCAAATTCAGATGCGCCATATCTATCCGTTTTAGTTGCTAGTCTTGCTTGATTTCGAGGCAACGCCATAACTGTTAGAGATTTGAGAATATCAAAAGCAGTTTCCATCAATTCGAATTTATCTCCTTGTTGCACTTGCTGGTAATTATTGTCTTCATCACACAATACAACAAAGTTTACTTTTTTGGCTTTGAACTTAATATTCGCTAGTGTTCCATTGCATTTTAAGTCCTGAAATAATAACATTTTCTCTAATATTTTCTTGAATACTTTTATTATATTGTTTATTACTAAAGTTTTAATCTTAATCCGATTAAATAGTGTACTTGTTTATTTTCAAAGTTTCCAGCATGATGATGCTAGCTTCTCTTCTAGCCCACTACTTCCAGAGCAGGACACCAATTGCTGGTAGAAAGTAATGATAGAGTCTCATTATTGGAAATAAGGCAAGGCTGAGAATGAATAAGACAATTTTGAGGTTTAAAATTCGGATCATAGACTAACTTTGGCATAAAGAAATTGTCATCAATAATGGAAAAACTGAAAAATTCTCACAAATATCGACATGGTCGTTTTTTTTATTTGAAAATGCCATTGAAAAATTCATTTTTTGAAGAATCAGATGCATTTCTTACAATTTACATATCTGTTATACTTTTGAGGTATTCCACATTCTGTTTTTAAATACTCATTCAGTTTTTTGAAACAATTACAGATCGAAACTGCTAAAATTGCATTTTCAATCATGATAATTTCGCGTGTAAATTCTGAATCAATTAGTAGTTCAGACTTTTGATATATTTTTTAGAGTAATTGCAAAATCAGAAATGGGAAAAACTCACTTCCATAATTAAATTTTTGAGAATAATTTTTTTTCCTTCGTTTTTTTTCAAATTGTGCGAAGAGCACTTTTGTTCCGTAAGCATTGAGCAATTAGTGAAGTAAACTCGGATAGGTTCACCTTGTTTTTTGCAATCAGCCATGTTTTTCTTCAGTATCCAAACATTTTTGAACTGAAATATTCATTCGAAAAAACTGAATAGCTGTGTTCGAACAAAAGCACACAAAAGAGTCCACTGAGTTCAAATCTTTTTTTACAATCACAGTAATGAGTAGAGACAGAATTTGCAACAATGTCTGAATCTAAATGTATACTTAAAAAAGAAAAGAGCTTCTATTAAGACAGAAGTTTAGAGCACATTTTTGATCGAACTATGATCAAATCTGAGAAGCAATGACCAGGCAGTCTAATGAGGAGAAGTGGCCCCTAGCAGTGGACACTGTCAATCAAAGCCTGAACAGCAATCTGTGCATGAAGAAAGAATACTTCCTCTCGGGAAAAAGAAGCTTTCCTCAATGATTTTAGTTTACAATAATCAAAAAATCTCGAGTAAATGATGTTTGAGAAAGTAATAGTAAAGCACCTTGTAATTCTATTAAAAAAAAGATTGTGCAAACATAAAAATGCATTTGAAATCGGAAGTTGCCCACGAAATTTTAGGTGGTTTGGTGTGACTTGAGTTGTCAAAGTTCCAGCAGTTATTAATTCGGTCCTAAATATATAATCGACCAATCAGTATACACGAAGGTCATTCTTCTATTCTGCATTATTGATTCTGGCGCTGGATCGTATTCTGGTATTCTCGCTGCACTCGCTTCGCGCTCAGTTCTCTTGTGTTGATCTCCGTTGCTCCGTTTTCATCGAATCCAGGGCGCTGATCTAATGAGATTCCTTCAAGCGTTTTCTTGAGCACTATCGATTGGATATATGCCTGTACGTGATAATACTAATCTCCTTCGTGTAGCGCCTATGGAAGTTCGTTAAAATCTCATCCGAAGTCATCACATACGGAATTATTTTTGTTCTACATCTCATCTTGACCTGCGTGTATACCACAACACCTTTTTTCGGTCTCGACTGCTATCATGTCCTAAATAGTGATGCTAACTACTATTAAGATTACTTCATGCCGCTTCTTATCGTAAATCAGAACAACCTTCCGATTCATACTTTTCTTCATAGCGACAGTTGGATTTTGTACATTGTATTTATCCTGAAGGTAAGTACAACAACTAATAAGTACGTTTTTAGCTTTCTCCTACTTTAAAATCGCCACCCTCCTGGTGGGTATGGGTACAGTAGACTCATTATGCGCATTCCTTGATCAGTGCCACCTTTGGGTACCTTTCTATTCAGCCGAGGACTCAGCGGGTCCATGCACAGGACGAATAGCAGCAGAGAAATGCTATCATCCTGGAGAATTCCTCGTTGTATTTTCTTTTCCATTAAAGTTTCTCCATTGCTTTTCAATGTAGCCGACCATCTAGAGGTGATGGTTCCCAGAAACCTGCTGATCCACAATAGCATGTTAAACCTTTCAATGCACTTAATCAGGTATCCGTGATTAACTGGGTCGAACGCTTTCTTAAATGTCATACCGTGCAGTATAAAGCTGGTTCTCGTGCTCTCTACAAGCCACCATGTTCAATAGTTCCTGCTTTTTCGCACCTTGAACCTGGCCAACAATCCCTAATTTGTTTTTCGTGGTAGGATTCAATTGTATGATACGTGCCATACAGTTCGTTATCAAGTTGTAAGGTTTTGGTAAACAGGTACTGGTCTGAAGTCACTACTTTTATTTGGGACACCATTTAGAATTACTTAGGTAGTTTTTTGTAAAACTACGAATTCTTTCCCTCCTCATCCAGACAAATCTCTCTTACTATTTTGTACAGGTCTGGATGTAAGGAGGCACAGTTACAAATAAAGAAGTTATAGACTTCATCAGGCCCTGCTGCCTTCCAATTGGGCAAATAAGCAACTATTTTCCAAATTCAGTTTCAGAAACCAAATTTGTTAAATAAGCAGACTTTTGGTTATAATTATGTATATATACGATTATTTAACGCTGCCTTACTGAAAAATTTTGAAGTACTGACTCATTTTTTTATTTGTGAAGGTATAAGCTGATGATTATTTTAACTTATTTGATAGAAATAAAGCTCAAAACGCTAACGTCTGTTTTTGAAGTTGCATTTCCAGTAACGAGTACGAAACGTGCACTGGCAATTGATGAGCAAAACCATAGAAGCAAGGCAAGACCGACCGCTTGGGGACAAGTCATTATGTAAATATAAAATTCTTACATTTCAGTCCGACACCAGCAGAAATAATACTGAGAAAACCTTACTACATTTAACAACGCTTCGTGTAAGTTACTTTTGAAGAGCGAATGCTTCATTGCTTCATACATTAAACAGTTCAGAACACCACGAAACTTATACAAAGCAATTTGAATGAATTTCAAAGCACCAAACTTATTTCTCACCATTCATTTTATTTTGCTAAAATGAGTTTGAAACGAAGGAAAACGAGAAATACATAAAATTCTAACAGATATCAATCTACAGAAATAGTTAAAAGACAACCGAAAACTATTGGAGAAAATTACGTGAAGCTTCAGAGTACAATTATTATGTTCATATTCGAAAAGGAAAAATACTTCACGCATACTAAATCAAGTAATATATTCATGACTCACATAAAAATTATAACTTTACATAATTGTTTCATTATGAAGATTATATTTTCACAAACACAGCTTTTTATGGCATTCAGATTGTTTTAATCACAAATTATTATCATAGTTTCAGAAAAAATGCTCTATATGAGCAGAAAAAAACGGAATTGAACAAATTTAATAATCTGAATTTTCCTTCCGATGCTAGAAATACTGTAATTTAATAAATATCAAGTTTAGGAAACAAAGACAAGCTTCATGAATACAACTGCCAAAAAACCTTATAAGGTTCAAATAACATTCAATTAGGGAATATATATATGCAACAGAACGACCTAAATGGTAAAAAATTAACAATATGGAATATTGATACATATCAATATCTAACAATGAATTGATAAGACAGGAGAAAACATTTTTTTAATATTAGGCAAACTGCGCACAATTTCAAAATCAAACTGAAGAATTATCTTCCATTAGCTGCTCTTGAATCAAGTTTAGCAATCGTATACATACTGTATGCGGAGTCACCAGTAACTTCTTTTGCAACAGACATAAAATTTGGTAATGGAGGCTCATTTTTGTCAGCTACTGGAGCTGTCGTATACGTTTCTAACAGCATTAATGGTTTTCCTTGACACGCTGGTGGTAAAGGTGACTTATATATATCCAAATGGTAGTACTGAAACTTGCATAATATTTTATTAAAACCTTCTGATACTATGACGAGTATTCGCCTAATTCTGCTCTGAGAGAGATATTATCTTCACTTACGGTCAAAATTTTTTCCAGAAGTAACAAACTTATGTAAAAAAAGTTATCATTATGTTACTTGATAATTTAGATTTTTAGTATATCAAAAACTTTTTGAGAATGGTTCAATCTACAATCATAACTTTATAATAGTTATGTTATGATTGTTTATTTCTGATTACTAGATGCAAGCTTATTTTTAATTACTTGACGGACGTATACATACCTGTTTACCATACATGAAACATCTTCGCTCCTTATTAATGGGTGCTCTAGAATGATCTCCCATTGTAATATAACTCATGTATTCTCGATAATTTAACTGCATTCGAGTTTCTACTGGTTCTGGACCATCGTAATGCCGAGTTGTTATAGTATACGTCGTACGGCCGTTTTGACTTCGTGAACGTAAACGAATCTAGATTACAATTTATGCCTATCATAGAAACTAATTTGGAAGCTGTACTTAAAGATACACAGGAGTTGTAGCATGAGTAAAAAAAGCTGATATATTCAAGATACAAAACTGAAACGCCTATTTTTGCTTGCTACATACTGAGAAACAAAAATGTTAAAAAAAATCTATTGTAATGTTATTACAAAAAAGAACGACATTCCTTTTCAAGCTCAAAGATAAAAAATAAGGAGAAACTTGATGAAAATAAGTTTAACCTGAATACTCGCATCTTCAGTGCACAAGTAATCATGCCGTACCATAAAAACTTCACAACGCGGCATGCATTCCTCGGCAATCGATGTAATAAGCCACTTTCTTTTCCTGTGAAGTAATATAATTACTTCTAAACTTAAAAAATAACTCAGCATAACTTTAATTTTAGAAAATTCTCAACTATCGTGATAAAAATATATTCATACAAATGCTAGAATAAATACGACTCTGATATACTGTAGCAGTGAAATTTTAGAAAATGACTAAAATCGAAACATAATATAAAGCAACATCTTTATTCAAAATTTACTGAATTAGATGTATAACTATACAAAGACAACATGGCTCACCATATATATTTACTAAGTAGTTGAATTCATGATTTCATAGTCAAAAATTATCAGAGTTGAAATTGCTTCTAAGAACGATAAAGATTACTTGCTATTAAAGGCTAGTCGATCTTGAGTCGGAAGACCGATCCTATCGCAAACAGCAGCGATTAATCTGAGGATCTTATCGTCAAATGATTTACATCCAATGTTATCGATCACATCAACACGCGGATGTCCTAACCAAGCCTAAATTAAGGTCATGTGCTGTCACAAAACTTTAAATGGCACAATTATCTGCTGAATTTATTTGATCAACATATTTACGAAACTTAGCTATCTTATCTGATGCTTTCATTTTCAAACAAGAAATTTAAAAATCTTCCACATATGTACACAGATACCCAATATACACAATCGATTTCTCAGTTGGAAAGTCACACTTCAAAAATGATACATCTCGAGTGAGTCGATCCTGCTCTATGGCTTCGTTCAGTGATTCACTTCGAGCACCGTTATTTGCTAAAGAATAATATTCCTCAGCACCATCTGCTGCTGTTGTCATATGAACAACCTATAAATTAACTTTGGAAGTCGGAAATATATTTTTTGGTAATACAAATATGATATTATGTTAGTTGTATCGAAGAAAATTTTGGTCTTGATGAAAAAAAAAAGAATATATCATCACGGTAATATTATTAAAAACCAAGTTTCGAAGAAAATAAAAATTTTAAAGCCTTATTTGATCATATCTGCCTTCTCGCAGGTTGAATTGGTCCAAATTCAATTCTTTCAGTGACTGTGCCCAAGATTCCTTATCAATATAAGCTGATGGATCCATAGCCCCACGATCACAGATAACTAAGACTCGATCAGCACTTGACAACTCTGCCTGATTGAAGAAGACCTGCCAATTTTTTTCAACCAGCACCATTACTAACATAAAATATTTTGAAAAAATAGTTATGATATAAAAACAATATTTTCAACACACAAAATGCACATAGAACGGTCCAGTTATTAAAGACCGAATTATTGAGTAGAGCAAATCAAAATATTGTACAGTTCTAATTTTTCCGCATAAGCTTGTTTTTTATTATGAATGCCTTAACAGACTGCTTTATTTTTTAGTTCACAAGATTAAGATGAATAATAATGAGTATATTGGCAGCAAAACATCCGAAAAAGAACTGATTTTCGCATTCATAAACAAATCTGAATGAATCAGAAAAATTTATTTTATCCTATGTTTGTTACATGAATAAAGATCTATTAATATTTAAAAGGATACTTAATGAATTGTAACCACTTTAATACAAAAAATTTTTACCGTTTCAATTCTCAATAAAGTTAGCAGCAAATCTTCTTGAAATTTATATGCTCCTTCATGACATAATTCAGCATATTTTATGCCACCACCCAGTAAAATAGTAGCCGTTTCAGGCACAGTGTACACTTTCCATCCGATTCCTTCAAAAAATGTCCGAAGACGGGCCTAAAAACACGTACCCATAAAGTAAACTGAATTAATTTGAAATAGAATGCTGAAAAAAAAATACAGCATAATCCAAGTTACTTGCTGTCAAGAAAATTTACAAAATATAATCACTATCTAGAAAACAACTTATGTAATTTATAACTAAAATTAAATTCCTTACTTGACCAGTAGTTTTTCCACCACATGGACCTCCTGTAAGAGCTAATTTATAAATACGTTTTCCAGTCGTCTTTTCTGTTTCAGCGACGAAACCTTTTTCGTTTACCATCTCGTATTAGTAGCATATAACTTACAGCTGCGACAGCATGGCGAGAAACACAGGCATCGAAATTAAATGGAAAGATGAAAACCTAAATACGCGAAATAATAATTAACATATATAAATGTTTTTAGCCATATCACTTTTAACGTTTATGATGTTATAAATGTATGTTCAATTTCAAATGTGATATTTGAAAATGCCTAACAGTAATTATAATGTCCACATATGTAAAATATCCGCTGCAGTATTTTTTATAACATACGGTTTATAAAATGGAAAGTACAGAAATGAACATAAAATGCACAACTAATAATACCATGTATTTATGCACTTTTTATTAGATATCTTTAGTCTTTATAAATGTTACAAAACGCGTTAAAAAACAAAGCATTAATAAAATTGTGGCAATCTCGTCAAGCTAATTAGCAGCAATATGTATAAGTATGGATTTGCCAATTTCGAATATACAACAATTAAAGTCTAAATAAAGTATAAAAGTATCTAACATTTTATAATAAAGGTGAAAAGCACTTATACTTTGTAAGTAGATTTATATTTCTTATATTTCTTAAATTGTGGGCAATTTTATATATTTAATAGCATGATTGACAAAATGTACAATTTTCTTACTTGAAGTCTAATTAAGGAAACGAAAAGTGGAATAAGTGGATTTTATGCTAATTAATTAAGACAAAATTACCTGACGAAATGCCCTAACGTATGTTCGAATTTTATTGTTAGCGGTTTTACCCATCGATAAACATGCCAATCATTTTTTTAAAGCTCTGTTTTCTGCCCTTTATTACTGCTTAAACTGGATAAGTCATTAATTAGATTTTTTCAGACATACTCACGGAAGCACAGCACAGAAGTCTGGTTGTGCTGGTAAAATTTGTAATGCATGAAGACCAGTGCCAATATTATTCAGATTCTAGCTGCTTCCTCTGTGTCGATGTGCAATTTCCACTTGATTGGAACTGAATTCAGCAGTCAGTGCTCTCAAGATCTCTATTGAAGTATTACTTTCTACTTTTTTCTTCGAATTTTCAATTAATTGAGTGTGGTACCTACTCCCTGACAAAATATTGGCATTGGACTGAATGTTACTGGAAGGGTTGTAAATATGTATGAAAAGTGAGCAGCTAGCAATGGTGTATAAGGAAATGAAAGATATGCATGAGAAAAAGAATCAGTAAAGTTCGAGGTAAGCTTTTGAAGGAAAACATTGAGATCATATTGAAAAACGTGTTTCCTTGGCAATTCATTAATCTCAATGAGAAATAACTTTTGCTTAGGCAAATAACATTACAAATCCCATGCACTGCTAGGATTCGCAGAAAGGACTGAAGTTATCTTGAAAACAACGATAATAATTCGTTTACTTTGACTCAAATCATACTAATAAGTTTAGCAGTATTGCCATGTTATAACAGTTTTGTCATGGACTGCATATAGATCGCGACTATATGCGATTCCTGTTGAAATTATATACAACCAATTATTGGTTCAAAAATTTAAAATTCGATCCCATTTGCGAGATTTTTCATTCTGCTATGAAATCGCTGATATGTATCAAATTTAATCGTAAAGGAGAAATAATGTCCAAGCATTGTTAGTATTATATTGCATGTAAGAAAAATGCTCACGAGTTTATAAATGTCAGAATGCATAAATTGCTTGCAGCAAAAAGTTCTATGTGTTATGCTTTAGTGTGACAACTTTATCTCAACTTTGATCAACACTGATACTTACGAAAAATATTGAAAAAGAAAAAAACCGTTTTATGTAATTTCCAAATCAAATAAACTTCAAATATGCAACACATAGCATTGCGTTCTATTATAAAAGAAAAATACTTTCGAAAAGAGTCTCAAAGATCTAGTTGCAGAAATGAAAGAAGAATTGGTTGAATTCGAAATGATTACAGCTTAAGTATTGCTAACAGCGATAGTCAAGCAGGCAAGTACTTAAACAAAACTTCTATCTATGCAAAGAACATTCTTGACAAACTCCTCAACCCATCTGCAAAAGCAAACTTCACATTTATCAATAATTCATCTTATTATAATAATTGTGAATTGTGATATAGCTTTTATGGCAATTAATCAAAGAGCATCGGTCTCGAGGCAGGAATTGCAGGTTAGTCTTGAAAAGTGTGTCAACATTCATTCCTTTAATATGCCTTCTGTCAGTTTAAGCAACGAGCATTTATGCAATTAAAAAAATTGAAAAAAGAAAGTGGGAAAGACGAGAAATAAGCATTTAACACCACTATTTGCAGTGATTAATTTCTGAGATTTTCTTTTAGGTATAAAGTGTTTTTCAATGCAAAAATTGAACTGCTCAATTCATCAAAATGATTATGTACAAGTTGAAGTAATTAATAAATTAGACGCAAAATAAATAATCTAACTTTCTATTCCACGCAAATCACTTGTGCAGATCGCAGTAGGATGAGACTTTTATTCAGAAACTTAAAACTTTTTAATGAAATAATTGTTTCAATCTTGTCATAAAAATAGCGTATGCTATCTTTCAGTACGTCTATTTTAGAATGTTGCAGCCAAGATCGCATATAAATATTAATACACAACATATTGCTCGCATTAATTAAACCTTAGTATAAATTGACGCATATCAGTAGTCGCAATAATTTTTCATCTTTGATCACCAATAAAAAAGAAAGCAAATTCGCCGAGTATTACAAATGATTATTTTAATAGAAAACAATCGTTGTTGTCACACATTTGAAGTGTTAATTGATAAGAACAACAGCTGATTTCTTCATTTTCGATCATTTCTCATACATTTTGCAATATTTCTCAGCTTAGGCAATTACTATTTCTCAGCATACTTCTAATGCTAATAACGCGAAATTGCTCTAATTTTAACATAGTTGACTCGTTACAAAAAACTTTGAAAGTTAGTAAGTGAGTCCTCGCTGCTCAGTAATATGTGTAGTCTCAGAACTGCTGATTAATTCACTTTTAACAAAAAGGTTACATCTAATTACGTACTGATCACTGACTGTTTTCTAATTTATCTATCAAACTTCTTCAGCACACAATTTCAAATATTACTGCTTCTGTTTCTTTTAATGCAGCTGGAAACTCATAAGGGAAGTTGAGTTCTATCTCGCTTTTTGCTAATTATATCATTTACGATTATAATTATGGAAAAGACTTCATAACCGCTACTATATACTTTGAACATTTTAAGATATTAACAATAAATTCTATGCAAATGCACTGCTTTATTCTCATGAGAATTATTATTCTGTTGTGAAATTATGTCTTTATCAGCACAATTCTTGTCTCACTCACTGAAACAAAATAAAACTGAGAAACATTTTGAAGACGTTGATTGGAACAACGGAGCCAATCCTTTACTCAAATGTTACAAGATTAAAAATTTTTATATCCCAATTATTTATCACTATCAACATGTCATAAATTAAAGCAAAGGCATGTTATTACCTTTACTAAATTTCCAATCTCCTTACTTACTCTGATATTGATACCCGTGAGCACATTCACAAGACATGACAAATCCTACCAATACATCCAACTTGCTGAGGATCTGTGTTGGGTTCGTCATACTAATACATGCAATTTAAATAAAATAAATTCTCCTCAAACCTCAGTTACAACATATCGGCTTCACCTTTTCTCTAATTTGTTAGAAACGAAAAAGAATGAGTGAATAAGAAAAATTAAAAAAGTACGTGGAAAATGACTTTGGACACAATACTTTACACGTAATAAGGAAATACTTTAACATACCTGAGTGAGATATGAATGTGTTGAATTAATATTGTACTATGTAAAAATAATGTGTAATGATACTTGTTCAGGTGAAACGATGAAAGAAAAGCTTCAAATAATAGCACCGACAAACTGATTTTGGAAGTGCGAATTCCATAAAATATAACTAAAGAATCACATTTGCTTTTATATCATTTTTAAAAAATCGAAAATAATTTTATGGCATTTTCTGATTCACAGTGACATAAAGCTGGATTAATAATCGAGTAATGAAAGATGCATTGAAAGAACAAAATAATATTGAAAAAGTTCAGATCAATCAAATTAATGATAAAACAATTTAAGATTATTCATAAGACAAATGCTATTCTCAACAAAATTCTTTAGGAGGTGGAACTACTGGCACTTGACCGTAATCAAAGTGATCTGCTTCAAACTGTTTAATTTGCTCGGCACTTAAGTCCTTTATGTTAGAATAGTGTGATTCGTCATCAAAATTATAGTCGTAATCGTTATGTTGCAAGAATTCTTCAAATTCCTTTGAACTGTAAAATCTGAGAATGAAAGTTCTGATGAAATGTGACTTTGACCTAACATTTTCTAAACTTTAATACTTTAATGGAAAGATATCCAATTAAAGTCAAATTACTAAGAATCTTTTGATGATTCAAATTACTGACAGAAATTGAATTTACCTTATCTCTGCCGCCGATCTATTTTTTATGCCCATATAAATTTCTGTGATAGATATATTTCCTGCTTCTACTTCATTTGAAACGACGTCATGGTTAGAACTATTGACTTCAACACTAAGTTTTTTATCATCATGTATCTCACTGATATCAGATGATGGCTTTTTTTTTGCTTCGTTTGTTTGCTTCAGTTTCGGTGAAACCCATTTCCAACGACTGGAACCACAAAATAAAATACAAAAATTTTCAGAGTTACTACTTTATAACTTTTTCACAGCGTTCGCTTTAGCTTATGAACAACTCTGAAATTCAGTTTTAAGGAAAGTACTACAAATGAAAATACATCTGAGTGAAAAGTTAAATAAAAGAATAGAATCCTACCTTTGATCAGCAAACTGTGCAAGTGTATTATGGTTAGTATTAACAGGACGACTTTGTGCCTATAAAATTTGAAAGGCTTAATTTCATTTAATTCATCATTTAAACACTTTAATTTTATTTAACTGATTTTCTCTAACAGAAGTATAAAAACCAATCAAATGTATGGCAGCATACAGTTGATTGCATTAACGTACAGCCAAATGCATGCAACTTATAAGAATACCAAGAAAGTGAGGAAACTAAATAGTTTTTGTATACAAGAGATTCTGAAAAGATATCATTGTACAGCAACTAATGTTGTATAAATGCAATGCATGGTTGCGAAATAAGAGGAGGAACCAACTTAAAAATAGTAACATCCATTTTTTGACTAACTTGGAAAGTCTAATTTAACGAAATTACTGAAAACTTGCTGCACATAGAAACGCGAATTCAATGAATTCGGCACTTTTGAAAAAAGTGCCGGATTCAAAAAGTTATAAATATGAAAACTAAAAAAGAAGTACCAATATGATGAAATCATTATCTTGCGGCCATTCACCAAAATGGATCAAAATATGGTACTTAGTATGGCTAATACCTGTGCGTAATACTTGTATGGATTCGATGTAAAGCTCGCAATTTTGGTATGCGACTGCGGAGAATCTTTCGTCTCTGGTTCAGTAGTATGTACAAATGGACACTGGTCGCCATTTCGACAATCACCACGAGCATAAAATTTGCATTGCATTAATGAAGAGAACGCACTAGTCATTGAAGTACTGCAAACAAATGCAACAAAAACACTAACAAAATATGCAGTTACTAGTAAATGAGTTAAATAAATATGATTATTCACAAATTAAAATTGATCTAGTAACCGATATGGTTGGATCATATTGAATTAATCATGCCTTAATCCGAAAAAAGCATTTTACGATGTACTATGAACTTGCATGATTAGCAAATCTTTCAGAGCTGTTGGTCAAATTAAATTAACGAAATCTCAGCCAAAACACACTAATATTACAATTTATTGTACAAAAGATCTAAAGCGTACAACTAACTGTGAACTAAGAATTAAGTGCAGGCAAATTCAGTCTAGTAACGAGTTGAATAAAACCATGCAAAAGGTTGTGCATAGTTTAATGCAGATTCTTACAGCTCAAATCTAGAAATGTCTAAAGGAGATGACCCACTCCACTCTACAATGCTATAACGTTGACCTGCTTTGCAAAGTTCAGCTTTTTATAGAAATACTTAAGGATCCTGTTCCAAGCTATTTAAAATTATTACATGGGAGCAAATTGGAACAGATTACAGAGTATAATCAAAACCTTTTTCTACACCGATACAACTGAAAATAAACCAGCTTAGGACGCGATATTTTCACTCCCAACCACGAGTAAGAATGACTTGCACGCTGCTAAAAAATGAAGTAGATCAATATTGTGACACATATTCATATTTTGATATGAAACATAACTATATGCAGGCAAGACACAAAATAACCACGACAGCAACCACGTCTCTTCCTCACCAACTCAACTTCTGATTCTATCTCGAAATTTGTTTAGCAATAAAGTTCGACCTCCTTCTATTTCTGTTGCACGAATTGTACATGCTAATATTTACATATGAAAGGTTATCTTGAGGTTAAATTTGTTTGTGTCTATAATAGTCATTACTGGTTGAGCATTCGCTATCTTAGGGTGGTGCGTGAGAAATTTTTCGTGTCCTATCATACTCTGGGCTTGCGGCAGTTTTTTGGCATAAGAAAAATAAGATTTCCCAGAGTATTGATTCAAAATTTATCACTGTTCTTGCAAAAAAACTTTTAAAAAAATTGTAAGAACTTTAAAAAGCTAGAAAATATAAGATAAATAAGCATCTAGTAGATATAAGTATTTTAATAGGAATTGAATTTTATTCTATTTTTATTATTTGTCGTTTGTCAATATCATGTCCTTTTTTTGAGAAAAGTTAGAATCTGAAGAGTCAAGTTCTTATCAACAATCAATTCGAAAACACAATGAAACGTCATGGTGGTAATGATGATTCTAATCCATCTGATAACCACGAAAATGTGAAGTCTGGAAAACGACAACGCCCTGATAGTTATCAAGAAGCTTTAGCAGCTGGCAAATATGAACTGAGACTTTTGGTTTCTAGTCGTGGAGCTGGTGGGATTATTGGTAAAGGCGGCGAAAATATCAAACGATTGAGATCAGAGGTTTGACATCTTATTTTTGCTATTTGTAACTTTGAGTTTTCACAAGTTACAAGTGTCCGACCGTTGTTTGACTCATTTTGAAAGTTCTTTGGCTTCGAAAAAAGCTATTTTTTGTTCAATCAACCAGCTGTACTGTGCAAATGATTGCTGGAAATTAGTCAAATTGAAGCATTTTAAACGCATTCTGTTTTGTCCTTAAGATGTCAAGGAAAAGCGACAATTATAAATGAAATGTATGTGTCTTGTTGGATCCTTGTTTGTTTTCAAAGTTTTCAATATGAAAATAAAGTGTGAGGATGGTAAATAAAAATTCATATTTCGTATTTGATGATTTCCTGGATCACATGCACGTTAGATTAAATATGCCAACAATATTTGAGCTGTTCTCAAAGTATTCGTATTAATTATCATGGCATGGAAAATTGCATTTTTATATTATTTATTTCTATCATCTCTTATTTTGCTAACGTGTTTTAGTTAGCAAAAAAAAATCAATATATGCTTTGAGATATACTACCATTTCACGTTCTTCTGGTATGTTTACGTGAAAAGGAAGATATGCCATCTTTGATATAGATTATTAATTCACTCTTTTCAGCCCTTATTCCCAGTTACATATTCTCGATCCCGATATATAATCCCGATGCCTGTTCTCCTTCAAGTTCACCTGCAACACACTGTTGTTGTTGGATGATGCAATATGTATTTATGGATAATGAATTTAAATGAACCAAACACTGCTACCACCACCATTGGCTGTCTTTATCCCAATTTTTTTGCAATCCCAGAGTTTTCTGTTTTTTCATCTCTCAAATTTTAAAACTTTTCTTTGCAGTACGATGCGAATGTCACGGTCCCCGATAGCCAAACTCCTGAACGGTAATCCCTGCTCCCCTCTCTCAAATTTTTGAGTTTTTTTTCCAAATTAAAAATGGAGCAAATTTTTCTTTCATTTAATATATTCAGAACAATATTTATTTACCTCCTTAAGATCAGTCGATCATTTCATCAATCTCTGGTCGCACTTATTTCAGTTAGCTTCTGAAGTAGTGACTAATAAAAGTAGAAACAGCAAAATAGTTGACAGACTTAAGGATTCAGCTGTTTACCACTCTCTAGCTTGTACCGTACATGATTTCCTCCAACAGAAAATAAAATGAACTGAGTGTTTGGATGACGGGATGTTTCCTCTCATATTTAGGACTGATTATTATTTAAAACTTCTACTGATTTTTTTTACATCTTTCTAAGTTGTTTCGACTGACGATAATATTAACCAGATTTTAAAATTTATCTTTTATTATGTGAATGTTTATGCAGTGCTGTCAGTATTTTTGATGCAGAAGTTGTTGCAGATATGATATCAGAAAGTAGATAAATTATTCCTTTTAAAAATGTCTTGATTATAAATTTGTGTGTAAGAGACTTATTTTATTATTTTAGGATTGCCACCATTGTTGCGACAATTGATAATGTTCTAGCAGTTGTTTCCGAAGTCATCCCCAAACTTGACGAAGTTAGTTATTCATGTATTTTCTCAATTTTCTTGATTGCATTTTTTAGAAAATATGAAGAGACGAATCTTAGAAAGCAAACTGATCAAGAACGAAAAATATTTCTAAATATGTTCCAGTTCGTTTTAGAGCCGAGAAAGCGATTCGAATCATCTCATAGAACTTCGAGTATTGGTACATTCATCACATGCTGGCGCTGTTATTGGACGTCAGGGTTCGAAAATAAAGGAAATGAAAGAGGAACTGGGTGTTCAGATGAAAGTAAGCTGCATATCATGGTTCTGATTTATTAATGTTTCAGATCAAATCTAATAAAGATTTCTTAGGAGTATTTATGGCTTTTAAAACCTTATTTTAACTAATTTAAATAACTTAATATTTCCTACTTTAAATTTTGGACATTGTTATAGGTGTTTGCACAGTGTCCACCTCAATCTACAGAACGTGTAGTATCTATTAAAGGAACGCCTGAAAAAATTAGAGCGTGTGTGAGCCATATCATTGACATGCTTAAAGTGGTATTTTCATTCCTGTCCAAATTTATTAACTAAGATATTGTACATTTTTTCCTGTAAAATATAACGTATTTCTGCCAGTTTTTGAACAAATATTGATCAAAATGTCAAAAAAAAAATGCAAAAATCTTCTTGTCAGTAAGTTCATTTTAGATTCCTATCAAAGGAGTGACGAAACCATATGAGTCAATGTTCTATGATCCTAGCTATTCATCTCAGTATGGTGGTTACCCGCCAGATCGTAATTACCGTGGACCTATGGTTCGTCCGTCGATGACAGTAGCTTCTTATGGAAACTTTAGTTGCAATTTTTCTCGACCTATTGGACGAGGTCCTTTATCAGCTGTTGGGATACCACCATTTATGTGCCCCGAGGAAAGCACTCAGGTTCATAGATTTCAATGTGAATTACTTAGAGAATTTTCCAACTTTCTCATATTCTTGTAATCTAGGTAACGATACCGAATGAGCTTGGTGGTACTATAATTGGTAAAGGTGGTGAACGAATCAATCGAGTTCGTGAAGAATCAGGTGCACACATCGTTGTTGGACCACAACAGGAATCTGGCGAGCGTATCATAACAATTATTGGTACTACGACAGCTATACAAACAGCTCAGTATTTACTGCAACAATGGTTTGTACATATTCTAATATTTATTTACATATATTATTTATGTGACAATCAAATAGTTCATTAGCCATATAAAGCTTACCCTTTGATGCAGTTCCAATTATTTCAGCCGTTGTCTATAATTTCAACTTGTACACTAACAATATTAGGAAGGAGAATTTTCGTAGCAAGTTACTTTTGAGGGTTGTCTTGAAATTTGTCGTTTATAAAGCTTTAGATTTATTATTTAATTAGTGTTGCATATTTCATAATTAACAGAAATATTAATATTCAACGTGATTATCAAATTTAGTGCATCTATTTTTGATGATAGTGTTTTAATATATATGACGAATCTAAAGTCCAATTTTATTAATTTCAGCGTTCGTCAGTCTGTCGCAGGACGACGATATTTGAATGAAATTTGAGCAGCCTGCAGTTAATCTGAAATCACTAAAAACATATTGCAGTTTTTCTGCAGTTTAATTTTACAATTGTAATTCACCAATAAAATATCTTTTTTATAAAAGTTCGACTGTGATATTTTTGTTATTGTAATGATAGTTTGAGATAACTGATGCTTTTCCTCTGAAATCAGGATATTTGTCAAGTGCATTACTTGTCTTTGAAGAGTATTGCATCGATTTCCTTATTCTTTTCAAGCTGCAGTCTTCTCAAGTATAGCAGGTGAAATAAGCGCCAACTTGACATTTTTCTTTGTTCATTGCACTTCCCAACAAATATGTGTTGGTTTAACTTGTCAGATAATTCATGATTTTAAGAAAGTCGATTGAGGAAATTTCCAATAAGGTTACTTCTCATGATTGCCTTTTAAAATCTCGAGTCTGTTTTTGAAAAGGTAAACTTTGAATATTAAAGAGAGCGAATTATTAAGGTTCATTAGACTTTATTTCATGAGCACATAATTCTTCGTTTACCTCGCAAGAATTGATGTTTGATATTAAAACTGGTTTTCGTGATTGCAGTGAACTTTATATTCCTGTTAGAAAGAATTGAATGTATTTGATTTTATAAAAATCACAAGGTTTGCTTTATTTTGTATTTCATAGTTAGTTCGAAGAAGCTTGTATTTATTGCATGATTTGGCGATAAATTTTTTAGTTCTGACTTGTTTTTGTCTATTACAGTCATGCTTGTATTATGCAAAAAAAAAAATTTTCTCGAATTCTGACCGGTCCAATTAATTCTAGTTGCAAGTGAACAAAGGTCGTTGGTAAAACTTTGCAGCAAGTTATGAAATTGCACTCAGTAAGTTTCATCGTTGTTGCATCAGACATGTCAGGGAATTCGTATTGATAACCTGCGTAACTGGATTAGATACAACTTATCCAACTTATTTTTAGAATTTAAACTCTTTGTTTACGTGAGCATTGCATTCACAAGTTGAGAGGAATGAGTGTGATATTTTCATCGTCCAAATTTATTTTATTTTGAAGGCATTATCATATCATGTCAGTTATTTTTTACGACCTTATTGACATTGTAAAATCGCACCCTATAATTTATGACATAAATGCGAAAGGATATCAGAAAAGAGGTCTGAGACGGGAGAAAGCATGGCAAGCAATTGCGTGTTCGATGAAACAAAGAGGTCATGATATTACTGGTATCTTTTTATTCTTTGGACATAGCATATGATTTAGTAATTCTCATATTATATAACTAATTAGTATGTCGATGTACATGTAACTTACATGATTGAAAAGTGGCACCCACAACCTGTAAAATATTCTTATTTTGGGACTTCCTCAAGAATATCTTTTATTTTTTATGACATAGGTTTTCCCGTATACATAAATCTAAGATTGAATTACATTAAGTTTACTGCTTTAAGAAGGTCATGCTTTTGATGTTTATGAAGAGATTTTTAATATACAAGAAATTCTTTTTGTTTTGTAATTTTAGCTTAAAATTTTTATGGTGTTACTTTTTTGAAAGATTTCATGTAATGAATGTACTTGTAAATGCGACGTCCTTACAATTTACTGCAGATAATGGTTGCAGAAGAAGATGGAATAAGTTGAAATTTGCGTACGCACGTGATCGAACTTTGCGAAAAATTGATGGCATTTCACCGTTGAGGAGTTCTTGTGCAAAATATTTCGACTCCTTAGCATTCCTTAACCCATTTCTTTATGATTATAAAGCGTACGTATCATTTTACGTTTTTAGGTGTATATAAGTGATAGATAACGTATATTTAGCAAGATGAAGAGAACTCGACACAATTTCAGGCGGTCCAAAAAAGAGCAGCCGATTGTTTTAGATAGTGAATCTGATGATGATTCGGCAATTAATTCACGCATCTGCAGTAGAGGATCCAGGCATAGCAGTTCTTTAAACAATAGGTAACGTTGTAATCGTTATTGGCTTGATTATTACGTACTGTCGTAAATCGTGCAGAAAAAAATCTTATATAAGTAGATGTGAACTTTGGAAATATGAAAATTCTGTAAAATAGATCAGCTTCAATGGATGGAAAAATGATGAATAATGGACTTGTGGAAAGTAATGACGATAATAGGAAGATAACAGACGAACTGTTTCATATGCAATGACCGGAAAGTTTGACGATCTAACAATGAATTTTTTAAAGATGAGTGTAGCGTGGTTGCATATTGTATATGTAAATAAGAAATTTAGAAATTTTTTATCTAAACTGCAAATTCAGATTGTATTATGGAATTTTACGCAAAAACCTGAATAACTTCACTTTCAGTGATTGTTCATTCTTCGTATTTTCGGATAAATTATTTCATATTTTATTTTAAGACAGACGATTAAAATTACTTAACAGTCTTTTCATTTAAAATAAGATATTATCAAATTTGTTCTTCTATTTTTATCTTCGTTTGTTATTGTTAATTAGTTTGTTTGTTATCATTAAAAAGTTATAGAAATTATTAGCCATCAAAAATATTGGAAAGTCACAAATTTCAACCAATGTCATTCTAGATTTTCATCAAGTTGTCTTCTCATCTTTAGAATTAATCTGAAGTTTTGTTGCTAGTGTAGAAGATTCATTGCTGTCATTATAATTGATACTTTTCATTTGTTAAATTTTCTTCACTTCTCTCGTTCCAAAAATTTTTTACCAAATTTGCCAGTACACGGAGAAAAATTTGGTTCATTTGTGTAGTTGCAAAACTTCTTTTTGTATCTATTTGATTGCATATGTATAAAAGTTTATCAGTTTATTAGCTAAAGTTTTTACTAACTAGAACAGACAGCAAGTGTGACATCAAAAAAGAATCACTAAGATATTAGTACCAGTGAGTTGACTTTTTGTTTCAGTTTTTTATTCACTTCCCTTGCTTGACAAATTCCAAAAGTTTAAAATAAATTAAACAGTAATTTCTTCTCGTGCCACTAGTTTTTATGAAAGGTTTCCCTGAAATTTATGACTGATAAAAGTCAGGCACATAATTACTTGCGTACTTTGCTATGCAACTGATTATTATCAGTGACTATCAATTGAGTATGGTCGTGGTGATGGAAAGTATACTTCATAATTTTGCTTCCAACTAAATCATTTAGTTCGAAGCAAAATAATGAATTATACTTTCCTCTGGTGATCATATATTCAGACGAAATATAGCAAATAAGAAGTAAGGTTACTCAGACAAGAAACTGTTCCCATGACCCATCAATCCATAATAATATAAACCTTTTTTTTCAGTAAATAATTCTGGACGACTTGAATCTATTACATTGAATATTTCTGTGAAATTTCCAGTTCAGAAATATATACTTCTTGCATATTTTTCGTGGATAAAATTAATTCTCCGGTGATAAATAAAGATGAATATTTCTGTTTACTTTATTTTATACAAAACTGCAGTAGGTGTATGGTGTGCAAAAAGTGATGTGTTAGATGCTTGTAATTTTGCAAACCCCTAAAATATATTCAATTATTTGTGCGGAAATATACGACGTTATAATATAATGGAACTTTTTACGTACTCACTTATTGTTGTTTTTTATTTCTTTGATGCTTTTGTGCTGAATGAAAACAATAATGATCGCAATAACATTATTTATCTGTTGTCAAGGCATTCAACCATTTAACTTTATATATTCACTTGTTCTCTTTTTCCGTTATGAGAAATTAACATAGGCAAATTATTTCCGCTCAATTTTCCCTCGTTTACAGCAAGGTCAAAGGTAGCAATAATGAGATATGCGGTGTTGCCTGTCATTACTACTGAACTACTGCACGGTTTCTTTGTTCTCTCTTCATTTGACAAAAAAAGAAAAATATTTGCTATGGCATTCTGAAGGAAAAAAGCAAGCAAGTCAGCATGGGAGATTCTTCTCACCTGCTGCAAAACTTGAAATAGAATTTAAAATCTCTCTTCTACTAATAATAGCAGTACTCGGCTCAATTATCAGTTCAATTATCCTCCATTTTCTAAGAAATTCACTCTCATCTCTTTGAAGGTAACATTACGGAAAGATTCGAAGTCGTTTTTTTCATTACTTCAAATAAAAAAAAGCGGCACATATTTACTTAATAACTGCTGGACTTCCATGACTAGTGCTGCTAGCATATACTTCTTTCATTCCCATCGAGACTGATGCCCAAAAAGTAACTTTGTTAGTAATATAAAGAGAGCTATCTATTGCTATGATGTTTTTTAGCTCAATAACTGTAAGTAATGAGTAAGGCAAAAAACTACTAATATTTTGCTTTTTCATGCATATTTGCCAAAACTGCATAATTTTTTAAAAATTGCTAAGATTGAACTTCGAGTGAGTAAATAGAAGTCAGTAATTTGGAAGATAGCTAATTCAATTTATAAAAGAGTGAATGAATTAAAGACAGTAACATAATATCCTTAAATACCTACAGACAGTACCTCTAGTCACATTTCAGAGTTCTTTTTTTTGACTAAAATTATGAATTATTTTGACTTTAAGAATCAAGAAATTTTCCGCAACTCTACTATTTTTCTGTTTTCTATACTTTTATATGAATTTTAGACGGATTTTTTTGTTGAATGAATTGAAGTAAGCCATTTAATTAATTACTTCGTGATAATCTGACTTGTCATATAGAATTTCCCTAGATTTTTTACAGTCTTTCAATTCATAAATAGAGCAGATCAACGCAGTTAATTATTATTTACATTGAATAATTATTGAAGATGTTGGCTGCAGTTAATTAGACTTGAGCAACATGTGTGTAGCTGCTAATAACTGATTATAGTTTTCCTGGTAATCATATTAAAGCTTTGGATTTAATCTAATTCAATTCTATTTATTTCGATTCTATTTATTTTTGCCACTTTTTGTTTGGCAATCATTTTATATTCAACTAATTCTTTTTCACTTAACTGAATTTGAATATAGTCATAACTATTTATTGTTAATATTAATTGAACGGCAAATAATGATGAATATTGATAATGTGTATTTTACGTTGAAAAAGAATGTAATGTTTTTTATCAAAATTAAACAGTGTGATATTAATTAAAATACAATAATTCAATTGAATTTGTAATTAATAATTTGTCGTTAATTTTGTTTTCTCATCCTATTTGTTTAATTTATCTCAAAGAACACTATCAAACAAGATTAATTGTCGAACTAATTAATTTTTAATTTATGATATAAGTCTTTTTTATCTAAAGGAAATCAAAATGAGTTATGAAAAAAAATAAAGGTATTATTTGCAAAATAAGAATGAAAGTTTTTCATGTAATTAAGTTTCTTGTGTAATTAAGCATTTTAAAAATTTATTTTTCAAATAACACATTGATTGATTACTAAAATTATTTTGACGTGAGGACTGCATTAAAAAAAATTACAAATTAAATGATAAATTCCCTGAAAATGATGGCTTACAATGGAATATTTCACAGCAGTGGATGAAATTAAGATGAAAATATTGGAGAATAATTGATATTATCTGAAAAGATTTTCTCGCAGTCATAAATTTTTACAGTTGTCTTGGGAAAGAAAGCAAGAACATACTTGGATATTAATTTATACCCCTCCAAAAGGCGAAACTATACTCCTCAAATTTTACAATTAGCTATGGACAAAGGCTTTGCACTATAAATTCTACTTGCTTTTGTACATCGACAATTGATTTACTTGCAAGTTATAATATAATTTGTAGAACATTTTTAGGAATGGAACGAAATACTTCAAATATTATTTTAAATCTTTGCGGTTTGCTCGCATTCAAATTTGGCTTCCATTCTTCTCATCATTTCAGGCATGAAAATAGCATTTGGATAACATTTCACTTGGCTTCTTCCAAATTTCATTTCGTCACTTTTTTGAAAATTACCAAAGTTTTGTATTGAAGAATTTTCAAGTTCCCTTAAAACTGAGTTAATAATTGTAGTAAGAAAAAACAGTAAAGAATAACAGAAGGAAACAATTTAAAGAAGAACAAACAAAGAATGGTACTTCAATTAATTTGTGTATGCTATATAGTTAAGGTTAAGGGTTATTAATGCAAAGCACATATGTATCCACAGGTAATTCGATCTAATCTGTCAATGATATACTTGAATAAAGAGTAAATGGAATTGCTTTACCGGTGAGAAAATTATGGTACTTACTGTAATAATAATATTAGTAACATTATATGCTGCTTGTTTAACAGCCCTTCCAGCATATACCATAAAGAAAATTCATTTGGTATCAAATCAAGCATAATATGCAAATAACGAAAAAATTGGGAAAAATTATCTCTGAAAAGGTCAAAATAACTGCCGTAATTGATTGATTACAATCTGAATGCTTCAATAAAACGTTGAAAGAAATCACTAAATGTGTATTGTTTTTATTTAAATATTTACAAGAGATAAGAAAGATTCTACTGATTGATTAATCAGTTTAGTTCTGTAAGTTCCAATAAATATTTGCCAAAAAGATTAGCACTGAAAAGGTCAAAGCATTCTAAATATTTCATTTCTTGAATATTAATTATAATGATAAATTTCGCTCAATTCCTCACATATACACTAAACTTAATTAATTTCCATTTTTTCAGCTTCTCTAAGTTACTTGCGATTGCACTCCCTTTGAGCGTCAGTTTTTAGGTGGCTTTTTTGGAAAATATATCCACTAAAAGCTTCTGTTATTGCTCTGTGGTGGAAATGGGTGTTTATGAGATCTGATCAAAAATGCTTCAGGTCTTATTCAAACTTTTATTTAAATTTATTTGAAATTCACTCATCTTTAGTTGTTTTTTAATCTAATAATAATGGTTTGCAATAATCTTTGGCCTTTTTTAGTTAAAAAGAAAATTGATATTTAGTTTTCAATGACTAATTGATAAAGTATATAATAACCCTTTCGATAATTATTAAACTAATTGATTTTATACGCAGTAA